ATGTCGGTGGTGATAATCGATAAAATGGTGGTGACATAACATGATGTTATCGATATCCCAAAATACCATTCGGTTAGCCTGCTACGAAATAGAAAGAAAATAGAGTTAGAGGTGAGTGCTTTTAGAAAAACGATGCGCGATAACGATGCCAGGTTTGGATGCACGCATCCGATGCGACTGGATGCCGTTATTAGATGCCGATGCCATCTAATTTTTGCCAACGTTCCTATAGCAACAGTGCCACAAACTTATCTGTACCGGTGGAGATGTCGCTAGCAGTACAAATATGTAATAAAAATGTCAAAATGCAATTTTTGCCACCGGCACAAAAAGTTTGTGGCATTGAGCTGCATTCAAAATGTTTGAGGGCAATTTTTATGTAATAATTTTGCCAGCCTTCAATATTTTCAGTTACAAAAACCGAAAAGTAAATAAATGGTTTCGATTACATTTTCAAGTCATGACTCATGGAATCGGAGAGACACACCCACACAAAACACGCATCTGTCGTAATTCATATTGCATCGTATCCTGTGATATTACGATACTGACATTCACTTGGCATCGATGCGATGCCGGCATCGAACGCGCATCGGATGCGATTTATCTAATACCATATAGATTTCACAAATATCTAAAAACGCCCATCTCTAGATAGAGTGCTTTTTGCATGGGTGAAGTGGTTTAAGTTAGTATTAGGTACTTAGTATGGTTTTAACGGCCTTCGTGGCCGAGTGGTATATACCGTCGGGTTCCAAGGTGTCGCCTACTCGACAGGTCTTGGGTTCGAATCCCGGTGGGGGTAGATGTTTGTGTGATGAATACGAGCATTTCTACTCCAGTCATAGCTGTTTGTATTTCTATATAAATATATGTATAAACATTATACACACATCAAAAGTGTCTAGGGATCAACATATATTTTTGCAATAACTTTTCTCCTGATTGATATTAATTAAAATTTTCTTTAAGGATTCATCAAATAAAGTGTTTTCGTTTGTCACAGTAACGATAAACCAAGTCACCTTTGCATTAATAAAGAAATTTGCCATTTTCCTAATAAAGGGATTTTTGACATTTGAACCACTAACACAAAAGTTCGAAAAAAAGACTGAAATAACAGTTTTCTCTAAAATTTTGTTGGGTAACTTAAACAATTAATAATCCGTATTTCTACCGCGAACACTAACAACACAAGAACATCGGTTTGGCATACTCAAAATGAGTTCATCCAAATCACGCTGTGGAATGGCCGCCCATGTTCGTTGCAACAACAAAAAAAGGTCTTCTTGCGACTGGATACCCTCCATATTCGGCAGAGCTCTTCTCTGTAGCATATCCCATGCATGCTCAATCGGGTTCAAGTCTGGCGACTGAGCAGGCCAGGGCAGGACATTGATGTTAGCTGCGGCGAGAGTCTGTCTTACAACTCTTGCGGTGTGCGGTCGTGCATTATCATGCATTAACTGAAATAAGGGACCGATTTGCACTTGTAGAGGAACGATGACGTCTGATACAATCGTCTCAGCATAAATTTGAGCGTTGAGGTTGCCTCTGATCCAAATCAACTCAGTTCTTCCGCCGATCCAAATACCCGCCCATACCATGATGGTTCCACCACTATAAGGATGGACTTCCTGGCAGGATTTTAATCGCTGTTGGCGTCCAGGGGCTCTCCAGTGTCGTATACGTCTTGTATCCGGTCTCATACCAAAACGAGACTCATCAGAAAAGCACACGAAACGCCATTGTTCTTCTGCCCAATTTCTGTGTTCAAGAGCCCATTGATATCGAATCCTACGATTGTGCATTGCTATAGGTGGTACCCGTAGCGGTCTTCGGGAATGAAGGTTCACTTCATGCAAGCGGTTTCTGACTGTTTGGTCGCTAATTAAGTTCCCTGAAGAGTGATGAAGCCTCACGGCTAACATCATGGCGGTTATTGTTGGAGCTCTTCGAGTTAAGATTTGAATGTATCGGTCTTGTCTCCGTGTGGTGCAGCGATACCGTCCTCCATGGCGCTCAGCCACGGTACCAGTGCTTCGGTATCGTGTCCAAAGTCGACTGATAACACTCTGACTTGTATTCAGAGCTAAAGCCACAGTACGTTGCCGGGAACCAGCTTCTATCATTCCCACGGCTCTGAGCATTTCTTCCCTGCTTAAATGACGTCGCCGCTCCATAATAACGTTGGTTTTAATCAGTAGTAGGGAAACAGTAGCACTAATAATGTCTTCAATGCGTTGTATGTTTTTATAGGGAAAATATTGACAGCTGATTTTCATCTTTTACTCGAATTTGATTCACAGTTCCTGATTCAAATTATGAAATGCACCAAAAAGGATCCATATAAATTTATAAAATCATAAATTTATTACAAAGCCACATCTCAATCTCAAGAAATCCGCATAAAAATGCTTGATCCCTAGACACTTTTGATGTGTGTATGAATAGTATTATACTATAGTATCTGTATTCTATCCGTTACCCTAGTTTCCCATACAGTGCTTAATTTGGGGCTAGGCTATTGGTGTGAGTGTTGGAAATTTATTATTTAGTGGTTAAACGATACTTTAAAAAACAAATTTGTAATCAAATAGATGATAAGCGACAAAACAATTTCAGGTGACAATATTTGCTCATTTAATTATTTTTAAAGAGTGTAGTCTTTCATCAGTAAATTTATTGGCATATATTATGTAAGACCATGAGAACATGGTCTTACTCTTACATAATATATCACAAATAATTTAGGCCTTTAACACAAGTTCAAGAGAGAAAAAGTACAAAATTTTCATAAACATGGCTTATCTAACGCCGTCTAACTTTTCCATGTTTTCTGTTTATTTAATAAATTACAGATGAACGCCATCTTTTGAAAAACGTTCACAATGTCATGAGATAAAAGCAGTAAAAAGCGGTGCTTTTTGTTTTCAGGTTTTTCCGCAACTCACAATGTGATCGTAAGAAAAGTCTCTAGATGGCATTAATTCAAGTCATTGAAACAAATTATTATTTAATTTTATTAAGTTAATACCATTAATATATTCCGTCCACTTATCCTCAAACGGTTATATATCACATTATATTCATATCCTCCGGTAGCTATAAAGAGCTTCCAAATAGGGATTTCTTATTAACTTAGGTAAGGAGGGTTCCGTAGTCAAAACCAACCCTTAGTTAAAAACAAATCTGGATAAGCGCGAGTCTGGCCTCCCCTATTCCGTGCAGGGAAGTAATCATGTTATTGAAAGTAACTTTCTTTTTCGATGACGGGGAGAAAAAATGCATTATATCCACGACAATGACCAACGCCACGTTAGTTTGCTGTAAACAGACCCTCGCGACACAGGTTATTGCGTGGTGCATTCGTACGTAATAACCCTGACTTATGAAATAGTTCGTTTCCAAGGTAAACATCCCTGTGTCATCAAATCATGTGTTTGCTTTCATCACAACTTACAAAGTATATTTTAAGCATAATCTGTATCATTTACCAAAATTTGTGAAATTTTTGTAGTTCCCAACTAGTTTCGATTTTGAGATAAACCCCGTAACAAAGTTGGTTTAAAAATGACAGTATTGATGGCTCCTCCCCCCATTGCTTTGTTATTGAAAAGGAAAAATAATATTTTACTGTAGTAAACGAGCAATGGGTAAAAAAGAAAAATGGTCTCCATTTCATGTAAAAAAAAAGTTTATTTGGTGTTTAAACTTAATAATCGGTTTAGCGCAAGCATTCCACATAAAATACCAAAATTTCAGTTTTGTAGCTCATTCTATTGACGATCTATAGACCCGTGACATACGGCGAAACAGAAAGACGACAGAGTGACAGCGACAGGGTTCCGTTTTTACTCTTTGGGTAAAGAACCCCCATTGGAATTTTTTAGTTCAGATCTTTAATTGCAATGGTTTTTAAATAATGGAAAGTCTTATCCCTCTGCATTATAAAGGAATTATATGAATTATTTAGCTAATAAGTCGATATTCGACCTTTTTACTTCAGAAGAACATGTCAAAGAGTTTTATGTATTTGCTTCCCTTCATTAGGATTCTTCGGATATCATTGACATATTATTAAATAATCAAAGTATATAGTAATCAGGTTATAGATTCTCACATCCCCAACAGTAATAATTATGTTCATAATCCTTATATTTACGTTCAAATTGAAAAGTTGCGTGTTAACAAATGGCGAACCTCGTGTCGCCTAACATTTAATGGATAAGCTTACTTTGAGGGAAAAGAACGGGAGTTTGACTCACTATAAGTAAGTGTGACTCAATATAAGTGAATATGACTCACTATAAGTGAATGTGGCTCACTATAAGTAAGTGACCTTAATACCTTTGAGTGGCTGGTATAGAAACATACCGCTCTCAGAAATTATCACTATTCTGGTTTGAACCATACCCTAGATCTCTTTAGTCAGCATTCAAAACACAAACACCACCAAAATATAGTGATTATTCTCTGTGATCTCCCGTAAGGTTGAGAGTACACTCTCACCCTTTCTTTTATATATTTAAGCTTTTAAATTTAAAGCTGTTAAGGCCTACTTGCACCAAAGTCCTTTAAAATCAAGTTTAAGGTCCGTATTACAGAATGACAACTAAGTATTGATCTTTACTTGAGTATAGTTAGAAATGGATATCACAAGATTAAACAAAAAATTGAATTAATAACTTTGGTACAAGTGGAACTTAATTAAAGGACCACAAAAATATTCATTAAATAAACACAGTATATATAACTTCAAAAATTTATTTAAATAATAATTATGAGGAAAACATATAACTTTCTTTTAAAATAAAACTTAGTGTAACTGTAGTCGCGTCTAATGTCATAATGTATTACCATTAAATAGAAAGATATGGGAAAGTTTCTACTAGCATAAACTCATTCATTACAAATAATATTACTATCTTGAACGTTAAGAAGTAATTATGTAGTCAGTAAGTTAGATATCGGAAAGTTTCTACTAGCACAAAATCATCATATTATAAAGATTCTTGTAGCACAAATCATTACAAATAATTTTATTTTCTTGATCATTTACATTAAACGCAATCCACGCTTTTACGATCCGCTGCAAGATTGGCACTCACCTAAACAATAAACAGAAAATATTTTATTTTTTAAGTATGCAACTGCTTGATGTGGTCTGTGCATTCGCCCGGATAGCGAAGGGTGCGGGTTCGAGTCCCGTCTGCTGCCTGGTCCGCGTGCATTTTTTTCTAGTTGTATTTTCTTTAGAAAATATTATGTTATAAACAAGATGAAGTCTAAAGAAAGCAATGGTAGAAGAGTGCATTGAAATTTTCTATTACGGTCAGGAAATTAAAATTTCAAGCAACGTTACTGATCACGAAATGGTTAAAGTGAAATCTTATTCTTATTATTTAAAAGCTACGCACACATTATATTTAAAACCGGAAATGTAGACTCAAAAAGGGCAAAACTTTCAATTTCACATATTTAAAAGAATATAATTAGGACTCCTATACCAAAATATTTAATATTGCTTGTTGTTTCCCATATGCGTCGGTCCTATATCCCGTTACCCTGTATTATCGTCATAAGTCTATTAATATTCCCACTGCTGGGGCACTACCTTTCCCTATGCTTGGATTAGGGAGATTTTCGCTATCATATTATTTTTATATAACAGCCAAAAACTTGGCTAAACAAATTGCTTTTATTGAGCAATGTTCTATTAATAACTTGACAGTCAGTAGCTCTTCTACTGACAAATTAGTAAAGAATAATTATTGTTTAAATTAAATAATGAGACAAAAGACAATTCCTCTTGCATATTAATAAATAATAATTGTTATAACTCTCATAAAAATATTAATTTAACCAAAAAAAATCCATCCAAAAACTTAAAAATCAATGTAAACTTTATCAACCTGATGCATATAAATATTCAAGGAATGATGGGTAAGGACTTAGAAATTGAATTATTTATGAATTGTAACAATATAGATATATTTTGTATCACAGAACATTGGCTTAAAAGTCAGCAATTCATGTTTAATTTTAATAATCATCAGGTTGGTAGTTCGTTCAGTCGAGAAAATGCAATTCGCGGTGGCTCTTTAATTTTATTAAATAATACACTTAAATTTAAGGAACGTAAAGATATTGTGAGCCTCTCGGTTGAGCGAACAATAGAAATCGCCTGTGTGGAACTGGACCGGCTTATTGTACTGAGTGTATACAAACCTCCTTCAGCATTGTATGATTGTTTTGAAGAAATTATGGATGAAGCTTTAAAAAAAATTGTCATCACTGGTAAACAATTAATTGTTTGTGGTGATTTTAATATTAATCTATTAGAAACCTCTAGTTTGAGTATTAAATTAAGAAATCTATTTCAATCATATAATCTGGAAAACTTGTTCATGGAGCCTACTAGAATAACGGCCACTTCGGCCACTTGTATTGATAATATTTATACGGATATAATACCACATAAAAAAAGAATCGTTAATCAACTAGATAGTGATCATTGTGGTCAGTTGATTACTTTTCCACATCCAAATAAAAATGTAACCAAGAAATGTATCACTATTGTGCCAAAATCAGTTAATCGTATACAGCGTTTTAAAATTCAATTAGATAGGAAGTTGAGTTATTTAAAGTATATAGACAGTCCAAATGAGTTGTATAATGATTTTTTTAATATATTTTGTAAAGAATTTAATGACGTCTTCGTTCCCAAAACCATATGTGTTAGTGATGCAGTAACCTTCAGTGAGTGGGCCACCCCAGGCATACATAACAGTAGAAGAAAACTTTATGAACTATACAATGAACGCAGCATTAATACTACTGAAAGATTCAGAGAGTATGTACGTAATTATTCTAAGTTATTTAAAAAGGTATGTCGCACAGCTAAATCAAATTATTTAAGTTGTAAGATTAAGAATAGTAATGACAAAATTAAAATGACATGGAACATTATAAACAATGAAACTGGAAAATCTAAATCTCGAAATACCAGCTTTAATTTAAACATTGAAAATAGAAATGTTACATCAGATACTGAAGTTGCTACAGCATTTGAGAATTTTTTTACTGATATTCCAGTTTCAACTACAAAATCCTTGGACTCCTCCCCCATTGCTGCTGAATCAATATTAAAAGAAAACATAACACAAGGTACTAGTCAATTTAAATTTAAATATGTTAACTCTAAAGACATAATCAAATATTTTAACCAATTGAATAAAAAGAAAACCGCGGATCTGTGGGGTAACTCCGTGGATGTTTCTGGATCAGTAATTGAGACAATAGCTCCTATTCTGGCTAGCATTTTTAATCAATGTGTTGACTGTGGTGTTTTTCCTGATCTAATGAAACATAGTAAAATAACTCCATTGCATAAATCGGGTAGCACATCTGACCCCACAAATTTTAGACCCATATCCGTGCTACCCACCTTTAGTAAGATTTTTGAAAAGATTATGCTAGATCAAATGCAATCATATTTTTATAGTAATAACTTTCTGCATAGTAAACAATTTGGTTTCACAAGGGGTCGCTCAACAACCGATGCCGGTGTTGAGCTTGTACAGCAAATTTTTGATGCCTGGGAGAACTCGCATGATGCACTTGGTGTGTTTTGCGACTTATCAAAGGCATTCGATTGCGTTTTTCATGAAACATTGATCAGGAAACTACAGCACTATGGATTTAGAGACACCACTCTGGATCTTATTGTATCATATTTGAGTGATAGGGTTCAGAGGGTTGACATCAATGGAGAAAAATCTCCTGGTTCGTCGGTTAAGATGGGAGTTCCGCAGGGCTCAATCCTTGGTCCTTTCTTATTTTTAATTTATATCAATGATTTGCCTTATTTTGTAAAGGATAACCATGAAATAGTATTGTTTGCGGATGACACTTCACTTTTGTTTAAAATTAAACGTAGGCAGTCGCAAATTGACGACGTGAACAAGTCTATTTCTAAGGTAGTCCACTGGTTTAACGTTAATAATTTACTGCTAAATGAAGGGAAAACTAAGTGTTTGAAATTTGTTTTACCTAATGTTAAACAGGTAAAAACGAATGTAAATATAAAGGATCGAAATGTGAGCCTTGTAGATACCACAGTGTTCTTAGGAATCACACTAGATTCAAAGTTGCAATGGGGCCCACATATTGATAAATTGTCGAAGAGACTTAGCTCTGCAGCATATGCTGTAATGAAAATACGTCAGTTAACGGATATAGAAACTGCCAGATTAGTCTATTTTAGTTATTTTCATAGTGTAATGTCTTACGGTATTTTACTGTGGGGAAATGCCGCCGATATTCAAACAATATTTGTGTTGCAGAAGCGGGCTATTCGATCAATTTATAATCTTAAAGTTAAGGACTCTTTAAGAAATAAGTTTAAAGAAATAGGCATAATGACGGTTGCATCACAATACATATATGAAAACTTAGTATATGTCAAAAAAAATATTAGTTTATTTACTAAAAATAGTGAAATACATACACTTAATACTAGAAGTAAAAATAAGTTAACTTTACCTGCTACTAGGCTCCACAAAATTAATAACTCGTTTAGAGGCCTCTGTGTTCGCTTTTACAATAAAGTCCCAAGCAATATTCAAGAGTTGAGCCTGACTAAATTTAAATCGACTATTAAAAAAACTCTTATTAAGAATGCTTATTATAAAGTGTCTGATTATATTACAGACAAAAATGCTTGGGTTTGAACTGTTCCAACCATTCCAACGGGTATTTCTATATGATATATATTATGGATCATGTGTTGATGATACTTTTATTGAAAAGCTGTATTTAAAGCTGATTACGTAAGGAAGAATATCAGACTATTTAAGAAGATTTGAATGACAAAACGGCGTGGTCATGATTTCTCCATTGTTTTTGCTTTGTAATTGTTTGCAGTGTCCTACAGATAAATGACTTTAAGTTTAAGTAAATATGTTGTGGTTGATATAGGTGGTTATGGGTAGTCATGCTCTCTTAAAAGTCTCTTCGGTGGTGTCGTGTGAGGCGGGTCGTTACGTTCCCTAAAATATGGTTGAGCGAAGCGATGGCTGGTTCATGCGTCATGCTCGTGAACGGGTGCTGCCAGCGGAGATGAGTCTGCCCTAACTACTTTGATATTTAAGATATAAATGTTTAATTACACCTATTATAAATAACTCTGTTTGTATTTATACTGTGTGACACAGCAATCAAAATGCAGGTGTACAATTAATGTATAATTTCACATTATGTAATGAAGGGTGACTTCATGAATCATCTCTGAAGTCATTTTTCAACTTGACGACTCTGTAAATGATAAAACAGGGAGAAAAAAACAGCCCTTGCTGAGTTTCTTGCCGGTTCTTCTCAGTACAAGGTCTCCCGCCGTAGATTTACGAACCGATGGCGTAGCTTCTAGACATTCATATGTGCTTGTAACAGCCTAAACTGAATAAATGATTTTGATTGATTGATTGATTGATTGATTTAACTTTCCAGCGCGCGGGCCCAGAGCATAACAGTGGGTTCTTGTGACGGCAGATGCAGCCAGGACCAACGATTTACGTGCCTTCTTTTTGAGTGTGTATGCTGCTGTTTGCAGATGACCTTTACAGCGTCGCCGGGTTTGAGGGCAGCGAGATCCTAAGGGGACCTCAAGCCGAGAATTGGCGAGTCCCTCTAGAGGTATTCCAGGCGGTTGGCATCTTCCCCCGGGGGGTGTCTCCTCTCCGTCTGAGCCTCTAGACTACTCCAACCTGAGGGGGTCGGCGCAACTAGAGGGCGTCTCACTCGGACCTCGGCTCTAATTACCCGTTGTCGTGGAAGGCGGGGAAAAACGCCTAGGTACGTATCTGTACCTTTTTTTTGTTAACGCAGGCAAGACCTCTGTTTACAGATGACGGCGCCATTAAGAGGCACACCGCCGAACGGACCTCACACCTGGCTCCCGCAAGCTTTACGGGTCCCCGCAATGGCTGCCCACTGAGGACCCCATAACTCTTACGGGCGCTTTACGGCATTACATCCGCTAATAACCCTGCGAATACCCTCTAAGCTGCTTAGTGCGAAGCCACGGGATCCCCGTTTAGGGATTCTTCCGCGTTAGGTACGTATCTGTACCTGGTATAGCTTGTCATGTGCAGACCAGGTCTTCGCACTCTTATCCTACGGGTGCGGTGTCTGCCTGATGCTAAGCTAGTGTGCAAGTTTGCTAACTGTGTAAGAACGGAGGGGGACGTGCCCATGCATCGCTGTGCCTTCTTATACCCCCGTGATCCCAACGCAAAATTCAACAGCCAATCAATAGCAATGATTAGTGAGCATACATTGCTAAAAAAGTAGTTGCAAATGCCTTTAATTTAATTTAGTGACATCAATTATTTTATGTAAATTGCATCCATATATTTTTTGATAAATATTACCTCATTGGAAAGGAAATGACCTGGAGAATTCTAAACTGGTTGCCACCTCACTATCAACCACAACTTTAGGGTGTCCATGTGTAAACATGTGCATTCCTGTTTTTTAATCAACCCATCATTAATGCAATGTATACTCACTAATGGGGTGGGGTTTTTTGGGTATATTACACTATTACCCTTAGCACGCACCAATATCGAATTTGAACTCTAAACGTGTCATTGTCAAGAAGTTTTGTATGGCATTTTGAACAGCGCCACAACGGCCGTTACAAAACTTAAAAATCGTCAACTATACGAATTCGATATTGTTACGTGCTAAGGGACTTACAGGCTTACACCTTCATACTAAATTTATAAATCTGAATGAGTTTCTACAACATCCAAACATAAAATCTTTAGGAGCGGAATTGGTACTCACAATTAGGAAGCTGCTGGCGATGACAGCCAACTTGCTGTTAACGTCGAGATCACAAGGGAAGTCGATAGCGCTGTACTGAGACTCAATGCTTGCGTCGCTTGATTTGCAGGTTCTGCTCAGATCCTTGATGATACAGCCGATACAGTCCTTGCTAGAAGTCTCGACCTGATGCCCATTCAAATTATGTTTACATTGAGAACTAATAACAACATAAATAGAAAAGTAAAGTAAACCTTTATTAGTGAAACATTTATTGCATCGTCTCAAAATTTTTGTTTTCATCTTCAGCATGTCCCATTACATTTTTTAATGGTTATTAAATATCTGACCTTATCAAGTGGTTCAGTGGTAAAAAGCTCGCCTGCTACGCGGCCTATGTTCGATTCCCAGTCGATTAAGAGTATTTTTTATAAATGATTTTAAGTTTGATTTGCAGAGCGGTTACATATAATCACACCATTTTTTAAAGATTATTTTGAGTTACGGTTCATTAAATGAAATGAAAGCTTAGTAACTACAATTAGAACATATTATAGTATTAATATACGTCGTATAATATTTATTTCTCTGTGGATATGTCGCAGCCCTTTGGGCAAATTATCCAGCCAATTGGACGCCGAAGCCGTTCATCAGGATCCATGTCCAATTGATGATAACTGAATCATCTCTTTAGGCGTGAAAGACATGAAATAAACTCATATAGGAATGCGTTATATCGGTCGATAATATCGGTTGCGTTATTTCAATATCTGTTTCTAGTACATTATGTATTAGAACGATACGACGGATACGAGGTTACATACTACTGCGATAATAACGACGCAAAACGAAGCACAGCGTATTATCACGCTAACCGCACATCGCGTAGGGTCCGGACAATCACCGGCGAGCGCGGAACCAGTCGCTTTGTACTATCGCGGAATTTTGCGCTCTGTCACTTGGCGAACAAAATGCTTTGAACGGTTTTCTACAGTAGTTTTTACTACGCCCTGCCTTCGCGTCGGACGTGCCAATCCGGGCCACCGCACAAAAGTAAGACAGAGAGCATTTCATTGATTGAATAATGAATTGAATTGTATTTAATTTAGTTGCAATTTGTCATCCGCATCGTGATCGCGACAGCGCTATACGAAAAAGTAAGACAACGATAATTACATGTCTATGAATGAATTTTTACTACGCCGCTACCGCAAGCGATTGTGGCATTATGGGTGACAGAGCGGGTCTTTCCGCGAGTGTACCATGCAATGCCCGCCCTACTGACACATAATGTCAGGGACCGCGGTCCTCGGGATATAATGTCCGCGAACAGGTGCAGGAGTATCATCAGGTTTTAACGGTTCGGCTTATCCCGGGCGGCGGAGAATGCGTAAAGCAATTTCCAGACATAAAAAAGGCGCATTATTGCAATAACGCATCCGATATTAAAGAGAGATAAAAACGCGCCTATATATGGGTTTGAGGCCTCAATAAATATGAAGTTTGAATATTAGCGATCTACACTTCTTCTCCATAAAATCTTTAACCATGCAAAAGGATCACAACGATTTTGTTTCACGGCTATACATCGTGAATTCTGAGTGACCTAGGAAACAGAAAAACCTACCAAGTGTAAGTCAGACTCTCACGACAAACCGTGAATTTTGAGAAAAATAATATTTTACAGGTTTACGAATGAGAAGTGTTGCCGAGGCATTCGTTATTTGATTTTGAAGTATTTGTGTTCTTTATAAAAGCATCGTAGCAATTGTTTTATCTTTATAACACAGAATATACCACCACCACCTACATTTATAACCAACTAGCAAACCCGGCGAACTCCGTTTCGCCACCAGATGGCTTCGTTTTATGTAACATTTCGTTTGGTGATTAAAAGAAGTTTTTTTTTTAATTTTTCCTGAACTTTCTTTGCTATAAACCTCACGAAGCCCGAGACCTTTCCAACGAATGCAAAACCGTGGAAATCGGTTCGTGCGTTCTGGAGTTATAGCGTCAGGAAGGAAAACCCGACTTATTTTTATATAGTAGATAGACCACAGCATAAAATATTTTTCATATTGCTTGGGTCTCGTCTTAATTAATCTTCACACACAATAGCATCCTAGGAAATTGACATATACACACAACAATAATAAGACATTTTGAGATAGCGCGGTATCTAGTCAAGCGAAGCAAGACCAATGATTTATTGATGTGCCAAGTGTGTTATGCCTAATAAATTTCGGAGCAACAAGATTCTGCTGGATAAAGGGAACCCATCACTGACTTGTTTCGTTTCCGAGTTTGCCAAAAAAGAAACCTCGTAAGAAAAATCATTTGTTTTTGTCACAACTTTCAAAGTACAATCAGCCATTTTGATTTCTAACCCACCAAAAGCTTAAGGTAGATTTTTGAAAATAGTCTTAAAAATGACAATTTGACGGCCCCGTGATTCTTTGTTATTGAAAAAATAATAAAAAAAGGCATTTATACTCTACTCGACATGCTGAGATAAAAAAGAAAAATAAATTTCATCTCCTTTTGACGTACTGGACCCCCCATGAAAAATAATTTAATTAACTTTTGATCTAAACATTCGGCTTTGGGCAAGCATTTTACTTAAAATATCAGCATTTTAGCTCTGTACTCTGTTCCAGAAATAGGGTCCCATTTTAACTTTTTGAGTGACTACGGTACCCTAAAAATCGTATAAATGAAAACAATTATAAACATTATCTTTTTGCGGAAATATGCCACATCATCCCTCTCTCCGCATCATCCCTCTCTCAGGGGATGATCGCTTCAGATGAAGCTTGTAAGGCCCTTCTGGCCATAAGCATGATTAACCGGTGTTTTTAGTCAGTAAGAGTCTGACATAACCCTACAGCCGGCTGTAGGGTATCCATGAGGATTTCTCACCCACTCCCCCGCCTGGGAGGAAACAAAAAAAACGCGGTAATATGACCTAAATCGTTGTTTGAATTCGCTAGTAAATTGCTTAAGGTAACTCACATTTCACAGTCTTTATACAATAATAAATACCTAAATAAGGAAAAATATTATTAAATATAGTAAGTTCAAGATTACTTACATAAAAGAACGGAGAATTTGTACCCAAGTTTATCCAAGAGCGAAGCCCTTTAATTTTCAGAAGTATTTTGCCTAGCTCATCACTGACAGTCAACACTGGCTTGAACATAGTCGGCTGTCGTTTAACCACGCATACTATCTTGTTGCCAACCACCAATTCCATAGCATTATTTTCGTTAGTACGGAAAGTTGCCACCTGAACATAAAAAAGTGGATTACTAACAACGATAATTAATAAATTTGATTGCTAAGCTAAACAGCAACTAGAGATAAAACTAACAAATAACAGTCTAAAATCTATTTTTCCGGGTACATTAGGTATTACCGAAAGTGTGTTTGTGTGAAAGTTTAGAACACACCTACTATGATTACAAAGCCTAATTGGACTGATTTAAGCAAAATGATCCAGTCCACACAATCCTCATTTCGAGATAATAGAGATTAAAGTTTATTGCGGTAATTTTCTGGCTTTTTAATGCTAAATGTTGTGTTTTTAATTTTATATTATTCTAAGTGTACGAAATTAATTTATATAAATGTATTTGGTAAATAAATTTTAAAAGTTTAGGAGATATTCAAGAAATCTTGCCCGTGGATTATTATTACATAGTAAATTTTGTATAGAATTAGCTGTGTAGGTTGTGGAAAGAATTATGCAAAAATGTTCTAGTGTGACGAAAATAGAAGCTCTAAAAATGCTTATTATTTTATTATATTAAAAAAGAACAAAAGTTCCCTAGTCTACATCATATGACAGCGGAGTGATTGACAAATTATTAAGGAACGTTGGACTTCGTCATCATTGTTGGACATAAATTAAATATTTAATAACAGAATAGTGTTAACTTACTCCACAATTACTCAACTGCATTAAATATTAAATTGTGTAACTTTGCAATGTGGATCCATTTTGTTTATTCAATTAAAGTGTATTATGGTTTTCATTTCAAAATTTTAAAAACGTGTCAAGCTCTGTTTCTATGAAGAAAACACATAGCAAAGCGTTATTGCAAGAAAGATTCATGTGACTTGGATAGTTTTTGTAAAACTTTACCAGTTATTTATCACTGCGCTTAAAGATTTAGAAAAAAATATTTACCTCACTTGAATATTTTTTTGCAAAACTTTAGCGCGGTTATAATGATTTATTTATTAATATGCATAAATGATCTTCAATCTCTCTTCTTCAAACATCTTCAAAAATTGTCTACATGACCACATTATCCTAAAAAAATTTAATAAATTTCATGCAAAACATACAAGTTTATTGCAGGTTCATAAAATTACAATAAAAAACAGGTGGTTTAAAATTAAATAAATGCATACCTTATTACTACTTTTCGGTACAAAAATAATTTTATATTTAAACGTGAATAGTTTCAAAATTAAAATTTTCGTTTTCCCATATTTAAATAAATATTCATGTGGTCTTAATCAGTATAGTTCTGTAGTTGAATGTTATTCGGAATTGAGTTAAAATGGTTCAAGGTTATTGGAACATTCAAGCAGAATGATTTTTGTAATTTTACCATCTATACTATTATATATAAATAGAGAAAAGGATACATTGACAGACTGACTGACTAATCAACGCACAGCCGAAACGGCTGGATCTAGAATGATGAAATTGGACAGTAGGTTCCTATTATTGCCGAGACAAGTAATAAGATGTGATTCTTTGAAATACAGCCTCTAATCGGTCGTCACATAAAATTTTAACAACTACCCTCAAAAAATTACAAAATTTCGTGTCCAAGGTTATATGAGAGATCATCCAAATTAGACCAGGGTCGATAATTTTTGAGACCAAAAAAAATTATAGTAGGATGAAACCCATTAGAAAAGGTAGAGAATATAACAAAAATGAAAGAAAAAATAAATTACGGGCGATCTGAGGTCGGGAAGGGGGAGGGGGTGAGTTTTTAAGGGTAAAAAATGGTTAATCTCGATTTCTGGTAAAATTGCAAGTCTTATGAAAAAAAGTTAAATGGCAAAGTTGTAGGTAATAAAAAGAGCTACAACTTTTGTATCGATACTTTTTTCACATAACCTCAAAATTTATGTGAAAAATGCGAATAACCGAGTTTTTGGTTTTTGATTTTTATTTTTTCACGAAATTTGGTGAAAACTTACCTTTGTATATCCTAAATATACAGTAATTTTTTTGATTTAAAATATTCATTTTTTCACCTTATTTTGACTTAATATCGAAAAAGCACCCTTATTTTCAATCGAAAATTTTCACGTCAAAATATCTGCTTTTTTAAAAAAGTTGGGGTGTTTTATGTTTGTCGAAATCTCTACTTTCTGATGGTATAAAAAAATATACACTACTATGGTAAATGTTCTCAGAAACTGCAAATTAATAATGAAAAAAACTCCAATCCGAAAAATTGATTTGAATCATAATGTATAATTTTGAACTATTTATTAAAATTTACACTTTAATTACTCGAAAAACGTAAGATTTCATGTTATACTGATAAACAGAAAAATTACAAATCCATAAAACATGCAAAAATAGTTGTTGTAAGTAGGTATTAAAAATAGGATTTTCGGATTAGAGTTTTTTTCATTATTAATTTGCATTTTCTGAGAACATTTATCATAGTAGTGTATATTTTTTTATACCATCAGAAAGTAGAGATTTCCACAAACAAAAAACACTCCAACTTTTTTAAAAAAGCAGATATTTTGACGTGAGAATTTTCGATTGAAAATTAGGGTGCTTTTTGGATATTAAGTCAAAATAAGGTGAAAAAATGAATATTTTAAATCAAAAAAAATTACTGTATATTTAGGACATACAAAGGTAAGTTTTCACCAAATTTCGTGAAAAAATATTTTTTTTTGCAAAAAATAAAAATCAAAAACCAAAAACTCGGTTATTCGCATTTTTCACATAAATTTTGAGGTTATGTGAAAAACGTGTCGATACAAAAGTTGTAGATCTTTTTATTACCTACAACTTTGCCATTTAACTTTTTGTCATAGGACTTGCAGTTTTACCGGAAATCGAGATTAACCATTTTTTACCCTTAAAAACTCACCCCCTCCCCCTTCCCGACCTCAGATCGCCCGTAATTTATTTTTCCTTTCATTTTTGTTATATTCTCTACCTTTTCTAATGGGTTTCATCCTACTATAATTTTTTTTCACTTTTCACCATTTTTAAAATTATCGACCCTGGTCTAAATGTGCATAGGATTGATTAAAATTTTGCACACCTCGTCTCTATTAAATAAAAATGCTATCTGAGTTTTCATTTTTCAAAACTACCCTAATAAAACAAAGTTATAGCATGTTAAAGTTATGGTGATGATACGGTATGAGTTTGATTCCATGGAAGATGGGCCAGGTGCTGGTATGGGATGTAACCTGTTCCGACACGCTGGCCCCTTCCCGTTCTACATAGAACCAACAACAGAGAGCTGGTGCGGCTCGGACAAAGAAATAGTCTAGCTATTCAAAGGGGGAGCACTGCCAGTATCTTCGGAACCTTGCCGTAAGGGACTCCTTTTAATAATATATTTTACTTATTGTTGTTGTTTAGGTTTTTAGTTTTAGGTTTATTGTTCTAGTATACACCTCTTTTATTATGATAAACTATTATAGGTTAATTATACCTTATTTGAAGTACATAGGTTACAAAAAATCGAAAATGCCGAGGTTGCGGGTTGGATCATTATTACTTAAATCGGTCGTCACAGAAGTTATATTACCTAAAAAGCAGAGAGCAGTCAAGTATTCATAATTGAATGCTTCTGACAAAGGCATTATATTATTAATAATCTAGCATAAAATAACAATATTATAAAATAAACATTTCTTAACTCCTAATTGATCATCTGAAATATGTTACCTAGCTAAAAAATCTTTTAATATTTCGACAATATTGTTTAATCGCGATGAAGACTTCTATTTACGGAAACAGCTTACTTAACTTGCATGTTTTTGGATTTCCAACTACCACTACCACTTGGATCCCTAAACTACTTATTTGTAGACTGCAGATACTATAAGGTGAAATATTTTTTGTAGATTCAATTGGAATGCCCCTGATGTTTTTATTTTCTTACCTCTTTAAGCTTATTGTTCAATATTTCTCCTAGCACCGTTCTTTTCTTTTTATCAGCAAAAAATCCAAAGCTTATATTAACGCGGTATATACGGCTTCCGTTAGGGCCGAACACCTCATATGTCTCCCTCGCATTTGGAGCAGACACATGTTGTATTTTAACTCCTTCCAACGATGACAGCTGCGAGAGACCTGGTTATTCATTTTAAAAAAAATCATATTAAATAATCTAAAGAAAATATAACTAGAAAAAATTCCACGCGGACCAGGCAGCAGACGTTCGAGTCCCGTCTGCTGCCTGGTCCGCGTGGAATTTTTTCTAGTTATATTTTCTTTAGATTTAAACATCAAGCAGTTACATGCTTTAAAAATAATAAAATTTATAACTATAATTGCTATTTCTTCTTTCAAATGTTTAATACTTGTAAAAGTATTCATTTTGACATTGTGGGTTACCTATAATGCGAAGAGATGGCGCTGCCTTGCAGCTTAAGAATAGCTAGAAGAATTTCGACGCGGTCCGTGAGGGCCGCGGTAGCATAATTGGTCAGTGCATTCGCCCGGATTGCGAAGGGTGCGGGTTCGAGTCCCGTCTGCTGCCTGGTCCGCGTGGAATTTTTTCTAGTTATATTTTCTTTAGATTTAAACATCAAGCAGTTACATGCTTTAAAAATAATAAAAATTATAACTATAATTGCTATTTCTTCTTTCAAATGTTTAATACTTGTAAAAGTATTCATTTGACATTGTGGGTTTACCTATAATGCGAAGAGATGGCGCTGCCTTGCAGCTTAAGAATAGCTAGAGGGAATTTCGACGCGGTCCGTGAGGGCCGCGGTAGCATAATTGGTCAGTGCATTCGCCCGGATTGCGAAGGGTGCGGGTTCGAGTCCCGTCTGCTGCCTGGTCCGCGTGGAATTTTTTCTAGTTATATTTTCTTTAGATTTAAACATCAAGCAGTTACATGCTTTAAAAATAATAAAATTTATAACTATAATTGCTATTTCTTCTTTCAAATGTTTAATACTTGTAAAAGTATTCATTTTGACATTGTGGGTTACCTATAATGCGAAGAGATGGCGCTGCCTTGCAGCTTAAGAATAGCTAGAAGAATTTCGACGCGGTCCGTGAGGGCCGCGGTAGCATAATTGGTCAGTGCATTCGCCCGGATTGCGAAGGGTGCGGGTTCGAGTCCCGTCTGCTGCCTGGTCCGCGTGGAATTTTTTCTAGTTATATTTTCTTTAGATTTAAACATCAAGCAGTTACATGCTTTAAAAATAATAAAATTTATAACATATTAAATAATGCCTACAAGTTCATTGAGAAAAAAAAACTTTCTTGAACTTGAATTACTCAATTTAGGTATTTTATTGCAACATAAAACAGTTTCACACAAATACAGTGTACAAAGGCAAAAAAGCTACGGCAAACTAAAATAATTACGAAAGGTGGATAAACTGTAAAATTCAATCGAGGAACTCTTTGGCGTGGTGATGTGCGCATTGGGTCTGTAATCTAAGAAGTTTAGCAACTTTCGCAATCAAAAGTCAATCACCATACGATGATAGTCCAATCAATGCACAGTTTTTCCTAGCAATTCTACCAAACAGCACCGATTAGCTCCAAAATTTGGCTGTAGGCTCTACTTTCCTCTACTACAAAGTTGTCAATGTCCTGAGAGTTGCTATTTTACCACTTCACGGAGATGCATTTTTTTTATAAAAAATTAGAATGGGAATGTTTAGACTGACCAATTCTCAGCAAGTCTTGTTCTGTAAAGTTTCCAGAACGGTTTTTCATGAATATCTTTGTATATAAGTATTTTATGAAATGAAATTGTAGCAAAAAAAAATACAAATAAAATACAGGATTTCAAATACTTACAACTATATTGAATACTAACTGAATAATAGTTTGTTAAGTTGTTGGTTGGTTCTTCTTCGTCAAACGACAAAATCGAAAGTTACAATATGAAATATCCAAAAAGCGTTTTTTGCGAAAAACTCTTAGAACTTCTTTTGAAGTGGTTAAAACCCTTTATTTTTATCTTTTAAAGAAATTCCTAGTATAAAAATTAAGCGAGTTGCAATATAAACAAAATTGATTATAAATCACCCCCTAATTACCACCCCTATTGAAAATGATCGCTATCATTTTATAAATTACTTAATTTACGTACTTGTAATATCCCCTATAGTTTAAAATACTAAGTTTTGAAAAATATTAGGTTGAAGTAACGAGAGCCTTTTTGAAAGTTTGCAAAAAAATTGCCTTTCTTTAAAAAGTTACGCAAAGGAAATTTTTGAAAGATTTAAAACAAAATCGTTTGGATATTTTACGTTGAAACTTTAGATTTTGGCGTTTAACGAAGTAGAACCAACCTTTAAAGACTCCGTCAGTATTGGGTCTAGTAATATTTGAAACATAATATTTTGTTTATTTTTTAAAATCTACAATTTTACATCGTATGATTTTTTCATTAAATACATATGAGTATTTCAATATTTTTTCAGAGTTATACCGTCTAAAACGTGATTTTTGTTGAAAATGAGTTTTCCACATTGGAATAAATCGAAAAGTATTGACATTCAGTAAAAATTTTGTGGAACAAAAGTTGCTTAGAATTAGTAAATATAACCATTCCCATATATACTTTTAAGAAAAAAAATCCCTTTAAAAGCGGTGGCGTCCACCTACAGGAAAATAACAACCCTCGTCACTTTCACAAATTTTGTTGATGAAATTTGTTAATGTGACAAACTAAAAAAAATAACAACAAACAAAAACTAAATAGTAACCCTCGCCACATTAACAATTGAGGTTGATGATGATGATAAAATCATATATAAAATAAAACATTGACTCATAGGTCAGGAAGAGGATTCCCGCTAAATTTAATCCTTTTTATAAGTTCCATGATTGTGCGCGTTTGATATCACACACGAGTGGTAGGTATATAAAATAAAATCGATTCAAAATTTGAAAAAAAACGATAAATCGCCGCTGTACGGTGAAAAGTCACTAAGTAGGTCAAAACTTGATTTGAGTTATGAAGGTTTTAGCAATAAAAAGTTTTGAAAACCAAAAATATATAAGAAAGAAAGAAATTATTTATTGACCCTATAACATTCACAAACAAAAAGCATAAATAAAAACACAGAATAAGGTCAACTAGGTCCCTGCCTCAGCACAACGACACCAAGGCCGCTGCGGCGCTGATATTCTGGCAGGGCCTAAGGTTGACGTGATTAAAAAAAATTAATAAACATAACTACAATTTTACAACTAAATCTTTCTAATTTTATATTTTTTTTTGAATCTATCTCTATTTTTATCTCAAAGATAATAAAATAGATAAAGAAAAAAAATTTACAACATTGCTCATAAATGTTTACCAAAGTTTTACAAATCTTCTCTCTCCCGATAAATATTTGTTTCTTAGGTTTTCACGCATATCACTCATTAAATAAAACAAGTTTCAACGGGTTAGATGCACTGATTTTATTTATTTATTAACGTTTCGCAGCCTTTTTAGGAATTCGTCATCAGAATAACTTTCTCTCCCGATACTTTAAAAAAATATTCTCTTTTTTATCCACTCTCTCCAAATGACAAAAAAAATTTTTTACTCACTATATATATTTTTAAGTATCACGATAGCATAGCTCACCAAGATCTGTTGCTTTAATATCTTCAGTCGCAGCAGTCGCAGCAGTCTCCGATGGAGACACCACGGGATCCACTTCAATCGCAGGTGGTGCACTCGCATTCGCAAACACATTAATTGCACTAAATTCAGCTACATTATTAAGCACTTTATTATTGGTCTCAATAAGAAAAGTAGATGATGGATTTGCATCTAACATTGTTAAAGCTAAATTTTTCTGAGCTTCCAAAGCACTTTCCTTTGCCTTGAACACCTCGTCTGCATGTAGTTTGTCTAGGATCAGCTGCTGTCTTTGCAATTCAGCTATCTGTAGCTGAATTCCTACCTTTGATTGAATAAATGATGGCACTTGGCCAATTGTTGTCGATAGTTTGTTGACGTTTGGAGCCAAATTTTGTTGCTGGATCATTTGAAGCTCTTCATTAAGATCTCCATAACAGGGTGTTTTTTGTTCATCCCCCATAGTTTTTGACTAAATAATAAATTTTATAGAATAATTTTCGTAAAACCACTGAACGAAATGTATTTTTGTTAGAGTATCCTAATTTATAATACACAAAACATCACTCGTGAGTTGCGACTGTTCAAATAACCTTGTTGGTTGAAATAAGCAATTGAAATAAATTAAAGACTAAAGTAATATGTTATTAAATAATCAAATCAGTACAACGCTTTTTTCTGATAAACGCTTACATGATGTGTAGGTATCACGGTATACACAAATGGACTTAATTAGGTATTATGTTGTGTTCGTATAAATTATATTATCAGCTGCGATAAATTTTAAGAACATTACTAAAGCATTTGTTTATATGATATTTAGATCAGAGTAACGTTAGTTTCTGTGCTACTCATTGAAATGAACTAGCTGTGCCTCGCGGTTTTACATGTTAATTTTAAACAAACCCTAGTTAAACAATTATTATGTTGATCTTTAAACTTCTTGGTATCGGAGTTTCTTAAAAATAATTTATGAATGTTTATGCTTAGCTTAATAGATAAAATACTCCCTGTAGCGAATAAGGTAAACTTATATTTTTTATAATGATAACCTACATTTGCATCGAGCAAGTACTTGGCGGAGCCATCCCAGAGGTGCGAGCACTTCTACGCAAGACCGCACCTGCGTCTTATACAAAAAGCACCATTGCTCGGGCGTGAAAAATGCCGCACCTTGTTCAGGACTCCGAATTTGCGTGAGGCCGTTTTACCACGCTTTTGATGTAATTCCTCGGATTTAAGTCACAGCGAATTTCCATACCGAGCATGGTGATACTGCACTAAAGCCCCAGTGTTGTATCCTGAAGAGTAGGACATGAAAGGAATGGCGACGTTTTGGCCGTGAAAGCGCAGACCCGGGTTTTCTTGGCATTAAACGCAACCAAGTTCTCGGTACACCATTCAGAAATGTGGTCCAAAATCTGATTGAGTTCAATGCCAAGATTCTCCCGTTTCTCCTTGGTTACCGCTTGTCCAGCCGCTGCTTGTCGGAGTTACTCCGCATGCACTATACTATCGTCTGCATAGCAATGAATATTCCCAAGAGGAATTAAGTCATTGTAATGCAGCAGAAAGAGAGTCAGGGATAGGTTGGAGCCCTGAGGAACGCCAGCATTCACTGACATGAACCGCGAACTACTACCGTCCGTAAGGAAACGAATTCTACGCTCATGTAGAAAGTCAGCTACCAAGGAACAGAACTGGTCCGGCAGACCGTATACCGGAAGCTTGGAGAGAAGGTTTTTGTGGCAGACCCTGTCGAACGCCTTGGCAATGTCAAGACCAGGCAGCAGACGGGACTCGAACCCGCACCCTTCGCTATCCTGGCGAATGCACTGACCAATTATGCTACCGCGGCCCTGATGGCTGCGTCGAAATTCTTCTAGTCATTCTTAAGCTGCAAGGCAGCGCCATCTCTTCGCATTGTAGGTTACCTACAATTCAAACATTGTCTGAATGGGGCGATACCAACCCTGTCATTTTTAACACCGCAATGACCAATTCTTGTTCTTTTTTCTACTAAACAGACTTTTTACCACCGGACGAAGATCATTTTCCGAAGTCTAGCAATACCTGTTAACCATTTTTAGTTAGTGACTAAATATTTAAAGGCAAAATAAAGTCTTCATGAGAATTTTATTTTCAGGCAGATGTGTTAGCTGGAAGTCTTTGAATTTTCTTCCTACTTGGATACCTGTCAATTTAATTCCGGACTTTAAACTTCTATGATGTGGAACACATTTCCCAGCCAAAAATTCTAGTCCATCATAATATCACTAAAATTTATTTAAAAACTATCCTCACAATTAAAGCCCTTTCCTTTTATTTTCAGAATAACATTATCTTGTGTATTATTGATAGCAAATTAGATTACTATATATTTTTAAATTATCACCATTATATTTTGTACGGACATCGCATATGAAATGGATCCTGTGGCCATTCCAATCGAAGGTGACGCCCTTGTATTTTCAAACACACAGCTATATTATTTTGCACTTTTTATTATTCTCCAGAAGAAATGTTGATGTTGGATTTGCATCTAGCATTGTCAAAGCTAACTTCTTCTCTGCCTCTAAAGCGCTTTCCTTCGCTCGCTTTGAACACCTCTTCTGCATGTTGTTTTTCTAGGATCAGTTGCTGTCTTTGCAATTTAGCTATCTGTAGCTGAATCCCCATCTTTGTTTGATTAAACGATGGGACTTGGCCACTTGTTGTTGATGGTATGTTAACTTTTGGAGACAAATTTTGTTGCTAGATCATTTAAAGCTCTTCATTGAGATCTCCGTAACACGTTGTTTTGCGTTCATTCTCCATAGTTTTTATTTAATAAATAATATATTTAATAAGTCGAGGAAAATGGTTTTTGTAACACAACAGAATCAAATGAGAAGTATTTTAATTAGCGATTCACAAAAGAGTACGCGTGTTAGAGTTTCAACTGTTAAAAGAACCTCTTTAAAAATTTAAAGAAATAATTTAAAGAATCAGGAAATAATGAGTATACCGCGTATTTTCTGATAAACACTCATACCCACGGTAATTATTAATGGTCATTATTGGTATTATATTGTGTTCCTATTATCAGCTATGAAGAATTTGATTTTAAGAATATTTATAACATTTGTTTATATTTATTTAAAGAAGGTGAAGGCGTATAAGTAGGTTCCTGCGCTACACATATGAAGTAACTAGCCTCAAGGGTTCCACTCGCGTAAAATTGATGAAAAAACTAACTCAACTAAATATCTGATTTAGTTGTCCGTACCTTGGTTTCTGAAAATTTCTTTACGAATTGTTATGCTTAGCTAAATAGATAAAATGCCGCTGTAGCGAATAGCGAGTTTTTTTTATATTGATAACCTACGTCGAGTTCAGTATTATTTACATGTGATAAATTATCACAAATTGTATGAGATTCGACTTTCGAGAAGGTCACGCTTGGCAACGAATTAATTACAGAAGATTTTCATAAATCGTTACCTATGTAAATAAACAATGCATTAAGCTTTCATCTAATTATTATTATATGCAATAAACTGGCGACGAGATGCCTACTGAAAAGAATTACAACAGAGTGTTATCTGCGTCACGAGGTTTCCTAACGCGAAATAAAAATTACTTAAAATGACAACAGAATTTATCTACCGAAAAATAGAATCAAGATTACACGAACTCGAAAATACATCTCAGAAATTCCAGGAAGTTCAAGAAATAATTAAACATCATACATGTGACGAAATGTACGAACGTAAAAACCAAGCTTTTGATATAACATAAATAACAAATAAATTCTAATCTAAACATTCACAAAAACTTATAAGGAAGATACAGGAGTTCTTAGGCTCGTTTGATCGATATTGGTGATGCTGAATGTTATGTTATTTATTTATTTTATTGAGTTAAATAAAATTAATTTCATCTTTACTAATTTAACAAGAATGATTACACTTAATGACAATTTAGAACATGTAACTTTAAGACTCAGAAAGCTTACTTGGATTTTCAAGACACTCAGGTATATAGTACCAGTCTCAAAAAAGGATAAGGGTGATTGTGGTTCAGTAAGAGATCTCCTTAAAGAAATTTATATTTCGTTGGCCCAATCTATATTGACATATTGCATACCTGTATGGGGTGGCGCAGCCAAAACGCGTTTTATTGATGTTGAGCGCGCTCAGCGAAGTCTCATTAAGGTCATGTATTTTAAAAAAAGGCGATTTTCTACTGAGTGCCTCTACAAAATTAGTAATTTATTATCTGTAAGGAAGCTGTACATAGTTCATGTTATTCTAAAAAAACATAAGTCTCTAACGTATGACCCTAAGATTTCAAAAAGGAGAAGGAAAGACATTATTATACGTGCTCCTAGAACCAACACTTTATTTGCTAGCAGTCAGTTCAATAGTCGATCTATACACATATACAACACCATTAATAAATATATTTATGTATATGATAAAATTTATTATCAATGCAAAGAGCTACTGATAAAATGGTTAACAGCTAAAACATATGATGAAATCGAGATACTATTGAGCAGAACCTAGTATTCTTGCACACACTAAGACACACATATACGCACACACACTACACCAACATACACACACACACACATGCATACAAAATACAAACACTCACTCCCACATTTACAGTTATGTAGGCATAAACACCAAACGTCTAAACTAATTAGATCTTGGTCATGGTTTGTTTAGATTTTATTGGATTATATAATTATCTATTTTAAGGAAGAGCTGTATCTCCTGACACAGGCTATTTAAGCTTAAAAGGAGATGCAGGTCATTAGTTTAAGATCACATTTTTGTTCAAGCCAATAAAAAAATTTATTATTATTATTATTATTTATTACAATAATCACCATACCATGCATATTGAAAGGCTTGCAAATCAATTAGGGCTATGAGAATCAGATCAATGATCAATATGGCAGGCATCTGAATAATATCTAGACCCAATTAACCGGTTCCTAATATGACTTCTATCAATCTACAAAATAATTTTGCTACTAAATTCCCCCCCATCACAAGATACTGCCCTACCTTACAAGATTCCAGAACAATCTGTATACGATACGGAATACCAATAGGAAGGTATTTTATGTCCAGAACTTGTAATTAGAAAAAAATTAAGACAATTACCTTTCCAAATGTTTTCACAATTTTTACACTAAATAATTCGTTACTGTAGTTAGTGCCTTCGTTCGTATAAAATTCGGCTCTAATCACCAAACATAATTATCAATAAATCGCAAAATCGTCCTTTTTCCAAAATACTTTTTCAGAAAACAAAACGGGCATTACAGATATTTGAATGTTATTTTTAAACAGAGTCTATGACCGTTTTTTTGTTCTCTCTATTAAAGAGAAGGCTAAGGAACAGTCAACGGCCAAACAGCCGCTGCTTGGGTGGACGAGATGAATAAATAAAATAATTTTGTCACTCCCAAAGCGGAGGAAAAGAAAATGATCACTTATATCCACGAGGAAATATAATTTCAAATAAAATGCAGCTTTTTATATTACTTTGGAAACATATTGATGATTAAGGAGTCAAATCGATATGGGAAAAAATAATTCAAAATTTAACACTTGGTAATTTCAACAGGGCTATCCACTACCATAATTTAGATCAACTAATTAGTTTTTTTATTTATAAGTTCCAAGTCGATTTGTGAAAAATTAAACTTTCAATGCTACCAACAAAACCAATGAAGTTTGACAGCTACGCCGACACAAAACGGCTCCACATTATAGACAAGACCCTGCCCAAAAACAAACATTAGAACTATATATCGTGTAATCTATAAGTATATTTATGTAGAAATATATATTAAACATGCATGATTGCAGTACAAATGCTCGTATTCATCACACAAACATCTGCCCCCACAGGTATTCGAATCCGGGACCTCTTGATCACGGAGGTCGTCAGAACAGACTCACGCAATAAGATAGAAAGCGCACATCACATAATCAAAGCAGGTAAAGTTCAGATTACAAATACAATGACAGAAAATTTACCACAATTGCATTTTGACCTATTACACGAGAATGCACCCTTTCAAAACTTTAATTAGAGATTGACGTTATATTTTATATTTAATAAAATAACAATATTACATACTTTTGTCTACCTTATTGGTAGACAAAAGTATCACACCAGAAGTTCAGAACTTCATGAACGATTTTTGCGCACCAGATGATCCGCTGCAAAAATTCATTCGAAGAACTAATCGATAATTTAGATGATTTCCTTGATCCTAAGTCCAGTGTCTGGGCTTTACAACGTAAATTTATATCTAGAACTCAAAAAGAATATGGATCCATTTCAATATACGCATTGAAACTTAAAATATCGCTACTAATTGCGAATTTGTATGCCGAAGTTGTAAAAAGACAGTTATGAAGAGATGGCACTGCTTTACAGCCTAAGAAATACTAGAAAGAATTCGACACGTCCATTAGGGCCGCGGTAGCATAATAGTCAGTGCTTCCGCCCGGATAGCGGAGAGTGCGGGTTTGAGTCGCATATGCTGCCTGGCCCGCGTGGAATTTATTTCCAGAAAAAAAAAAATACTTTAGATTTAAACATACAGCAGTTGAATGCTTTAAAAATAAAAATATAAATACATTACAAGTTAAACCAACCACCATTGCCCAAGAAACAAAGAACGTTATACCTTTAAACGAGTATAGTACTTACCGCAATACTGGAATGGCTAAATTTAAGGGTATTTAATAAAACAGTTTGGATATAATGATAATGAACTTACCTTACACGTAAGGTCCGTATTACAGAATGACAACTAAGTGTTGATCTTTACTTGAGGACAGTTAGAAATCCCTTTCTAACTATGCTCAAGACTAGATCAATCACTGAGAATCTTTCTATAATACGGGCCTAAAAGGATGCAGAATCATAATACCGGAGAAGTTGCGCCGATAAGTGCTCGACGAATTGCATGCAAGATATATTGGCATCCTAAAGATAAAGTTTCTGTCTGATTGCGGTACTATTCAATGAACAACTTCTTCATATCATCCTGCAACCAATAGGCATGCAGAAAGATTTGTACAGACCATCAAAAGAGCCTGGCGGTCTATAGCGTCGAAGAGAGGTGAATTATTAGAGAAATCATATTAAAACCTACAAATTAATAATAATAATATTTATTGCATAAAAATATAGTACAAAAGGCGTTCGTTCATTGTCATGTCTCACATATTTTACTGTTAGACAGCATGCAATTTATAAATTAAATGAAAATTATTTTAAGCTTATAAGTCCATTAGGTATGGTTCTTACAAAGTTTGTTTCCTCCCAAGATAATTTTATAACCATTATTATAGAATGTAAAATAAATATAAAATTATTCATCAAAATGTAAAAATTACATGTACAATATTACAAAATGTGTTTCCTCTCAAGATCTTCTGATAATATTCAATATCATACAATGTCAAAGAAATAATAAAATTATTCATCAAAATGAAAAATGATAAATGTCCAATAATATAAAATTTATTTGCTCCCAAGATCCTCCTATAATCAATATCATACAATGTCAAGTAAATTAAATATATCATCAAAATTATGCATATAAGTATACACTGAGGCGTACGCCGGGGCAGAGTGAATTGATGTTTGGCCGAAAAGTTAGAACCACACTTCTCACCATGTTCAAGAAACGGCGTGTTACTTCTTCAATACACTTCTCATCTGGAGATAGAGTTCAAGAGAGAAGTTGAAGATGGAAATCCAATAAAAGTTATTCGTGATTTAGCGACTAAGGCGCCTTTACCACGTTGTGCATACCAGTGAAGGCTTAACCTGGACGCGTAATTTGGACAGGCTGTTGCCGGCGTCCCAGGTGCCTCAGTTGAGAATCGCCGTGGAGGCGGGTCAGGTATCAGATTCTACTTCCGAAGAGGCCACCCTTGGTAACGATTTGGTTACTTAAGATTGTCATCAATTATTATATTAGTAAACAATGCATTAAGTTTTTATCTTTTTATTATTATTGGCCTGGATTGCCGAACAAAAGGCAGATGGAGCGCACGGTATAATGCAATATCTAGACGTAACTGAGGAGCAACTAAATTAACTTGAGCTGTTTCAAAACTTTTGTATTAGGATCATACTTGGCTTGCGCAAATATGATCATGTATCCGATTTCCGCACTAAGCTCAAGTGGTTGCCAATTCGTCTTCGCCGGAACATGAATATCCTTTCCCTTCTCTACAGTATATTGTTTAATCCCTTTACTCCATATTATCTCAAGGACCGTTTTAATTTCCTGCATGATACACATGCTCGTGTTTTGATTGAGATCGTCAGAGAATTAACCACTCGAGATTCAAATGCACTCTACGAAATTTATGGACAAGTCATTTGTAGTTTGTAGGCTGCTCGTTTGTGGAATGCCTTGCCAGAAACAATCAGAGGTGCTAAAACATTAGCTTGTTTTAAAAAAATGTTAAAAGAAAGTAATGTTCTTTAAACACTCTAGCAAGTCGTCACATCATCCAAAATAAGTAAAAAAAAATTTAAAAAAAAAATAAGTAAATAAGTATTAAAGATTAAAGTGTTAGTGTGTTTATATATACATAGATATATTATGTATTTGTAATTTTATTTATTTTTCGTTGTACATAATTATTTATAAGTATTATTCCATGATAAACTACCATTAGTTTCACTTTTTAAATGACACCACCTACTTCCCACTCTCTATGTAACAGTCCAGTTAACAACGGTTGCTTGGAAAAAATGCTTCTTAGCGATAAGGTCGCCATTTGTACCATTATGTAATCATCATCATCATAATCAGCCTATTAATGTTCCCACTGCTGGGGCACAGGCCTTCCCTATGGATGGAATAGGGAGATTGGGCCATGACCCACCACGCGGGCCCAGTGCGGATTGGTGGGTGCTAACGACTGCAGATGCAGCCGGGACCAACGGCTTAACGTGCCTTCCGAAGCACGGAGGAGCTCGAGATAGTAATTTTTGGTCACCCATCCAATGACCGACCACTATGAAAGTTTCTTAAGTTCAACGATCGCAGCCGAACGCGCTAACCACTTGCGCCATCGAGCTCCATTATGTAATAGTTTTAATTAATTGTAATTTGCAATTGCATGGTGTACAATAAAGTGATCATTTATTCATTCATTATATTATTGTTAGAATAGATTAGGTATGTACTCATAGACTTGTTAGTTCTACAGTGACTACTTAACCAGAAAACCAATGCTTATGTTAGTTGCCACAAATTACTCCACTCCACCTGATGTTAAGTATGATTTTGCAGAATATTCGTTTTATTTCATCTCTCTCTTCATCTGAAATGCTAACATATTCTGTACTATTAAAATAGTAAGCATTCTAAACAGTTGGGAGTGTTTAAGAGTTTTTTTTTATTACCCGGCTGCGCAATGCAAGAGCGCGAAGCGCAGATAGGGTTATTTAACTAAGTACTTACCGACGGCCGTCTTGAAAAATACCGATGGTTTATTAAAAAAACACAATAGTAAAACATAATTATTTATTGTTATACAATGTAACCTAACCTTAATAATCACAAAAAGTAAACCTTCTCATACGACGACACAACATTACAAAAAAATCAGAGTTCTCGTATCTCGTGTCCTTTTCCTATACTAATTTTTTTTTTCATATATTTCAAAAGTTCCAAATAAACTATAAGTTGCTAATAGGATTAAAGAAGTTACTTCCACCTTACAAAACAGTGAATTCATCATCATCACTAGCCTTTTAACGACCCCACTGCAGGGGTACAGGCCTTCTCTATGGATGGAATAGGGAGACTGGGGCCTGACCCACCACGCGGGCCCAGTGAGGATTGGTGGGTGCTAACAACTGCAGGTATAGCCGGGACCCACGGCTTAATATGCCTTTCGAAGCACGGAGGAGCTTGAGATAATAAGTTTTTGGTCCCCATCCAATGACCGACCATTGCGAAAGTTGCTAGCTTAACTTTCACGATCCAAGGCCGAATCTCCAAGGGGATGGAATAATCGACGGGGCCCAGTGAGGATTGGTGGGTGCTAACAACTGCAGGTATAGCCGGGACCCACGGCTTAATATGCCTTTCGAAGCACGGAGGAGCTCGAGATAATAAGTTTTTGGTCCCCATCCAATGACCGACCATTGCGAAAGTTGCTAGTTAACTTTCACGATCCAAGGCCGAATACGCTAACCACCTGGTCAATAGAGTCCTGTGACTTGACTATTCATTTTGGTGGTTGATTTTGTTTCTGTTAGTGAATAAATTCCTACCTTTCTTACAAATTTACATTTGTAGAATTGTAAATTAATGAACTATCAGAACATTTACTTATTAACTATGCATAATCCAAGTTCATTAACTGAAATATGTATTTAACATGCAGTGGAAAATATAAGAAAAAAAACCCTCTTATTTTTAAAATAGGGCAAGCTGTTCAGTTGAATAACATTTTCCATAGTCGCTCTCATAATCAAATTGTTTGTGTTACCTACATTTAATAGAAATATAACAGCACAAGGTTACAAAATGCCATCAAAAATAAATTATACACGAACCAAAATACAGAGAACTAACGCATACTTCCTAAATCTTCCATCGGAGTCTCTAATTCATCCTAGAAAAGGGTTCGATGTCTCAGCGATGCATATTAATCGTTAACGACCTATTCGTTCCGTCCACCTGATCGATCCTCTTTCAGCAATTTTCCGCGGATCGCTGCATGATTGGTGCTTACCTAAACATAAAATAGTATAATTGCTATTTATAGTTAAGTAATAAGAATAAGGGCATCATTAGTAAACAAACATATTATAGGTGTATAAATTTTTTACTGGTCTTATAGTAGGGGAGCCCAGGCGGGGATTTTTGAATTTACTCGAGCGTGATAGAACAACATAAGGGGGCATGCATCTTCCTATGTACTTCCACCATACCTGAATCCTCTATGTAGAGCCGAATGTCTAGGGCAGCAAAAAAAATCCACAAACGGCCATGACTTCAGATCGTCAGATTTTGAATAGGAGCTACTGGACTGGGTTCACATAACATCCCTTTTTAATCTCTTACGCGCCACCCGCAGATTAATATTTTTTCCAACCTCAGAACCATTCCAGTAGTTTCTATTCAAAAGACTGACGCGACCAAGAGCCATGGCCGTTTGTTAACAATTTTTTTCGTTGCCCGAGACTTACTGCCCAACACACAGATGAAATTCATTTCCTTTCATTACACTTCATTTCACTTCATTCCACTTCATTTCACTGCATTTCATTTCACTTCATTTCATTTAACTTCATTTCCTTTCATTTTACTTCATTTCATTTCATACAGGACTCATATATGGTAGGAGTATTTCACAAGTTGGATGGTTGCCCCCTTATGTTATTCTGCAGCGCTCAAGTAAATCCAAAAATCCCCGTTTGGATTGCCCTACTATTCCTTTTTGAAAGCTCTTTAAAATCGTTCAAAATCTTGTCTTACCACCCTTATGAATTTATACTTACAATGAGAAAGCTGCAGGCAACGATAGCCGCCTTGAGTACAACCTTTAGATCACGATGGAAGTTTATTACACTGTTCAGATAGTCAAAGCTTCCGTTACTGGGTTGAGAATTGGTGTTAAGATTCTTGATGATGCAGCCGATATTCTCCTTAGTGGCGGTCTCGACCTGGCGTCCATTAAATTATATTAATATTGGGAACTAATAACAACATAAAAGAGAAAATAAGGAGATTCCTTCTAAACCTTATTTAAGTTTTTATTATTTAAAATAAAATTTATGTGAAATATTCTTCTCTTTGGCTTTTCAGTCTATCCTCGGTATCACTCTTTCATTAAACTTTAGCCAAGCTGAACATTAAAAAATATATATGTGTATATTTGTTTTCATTTAGTTCAGTAACTTGGGGGACAGCCCAAGCACGACGTGGACAGATCCGTATTCGTATCACCAATGTCAAAGTTTCTATGGAAATTAAGCAGCGCTCCTAACGAACGTAAGCACAAACTAACTTCTTTCATATAAACTTCGTCATGGCGATACGAATATTTTCTCGCTAGTTGTTCGTGATTGAGGTACTCGTTATGTAAAAGTTTGACTTTCATCCTAATGGACATTAATCTCATGTTTTGAATAAATAAATAAAATATTAAAACAGTATAAGGTAACTTACTGTGTACATTGATTTATTAGAACCGTAGCCCTGCCCTTTGATTTTCATAATAACTTTGCCGTACGTAGTACTTATTGTCAACACTGGCTTAAACAAAACCGGCTGTCGTTTAACCACGAATACTTTCTTGTTGCCAACCAACAATTCCATAGTACGACTTTCGGTTGTATGGAAGTTTGCCACCTGAACATAAAAACATGAATTTTTAGTTCAGAAATTAACTAGACGAAACCGATCAACAAACAGCATATAAAGGTCTTAAAACTTCTGTATTTATTCTGATGTTGAATCGAATTTCAGCATTATTTCTGAATCTGAAGCTTTGATCAACACTTCTATAGATACGGGTCAGCGCATAAAATCCGTCTCGGTAAATATACCGGATTTGCTCGAGGATTTGCTCGAGTGCGGCATAATAGCATATGCGGAGCAACCTTGCACCTAGTTAAGTACTCCCACCATACCTGAGCCCTCAATGTAGGGCCGAACGTCTAGGGCAGCAAAAACAAAATTTCAACGAACGGTCATGACTTTTAGTCGCGCCCAAATCGTCAGTCTTTTGACTATAAGCTACAAGAGGGTTCATGTTACGTTTCAAAGAACGGAAAAAATATTGATCTGCCGAGGTTTACATGATATGGGGGTGGCCGTATGAAGGGGTAGAATATAGGAAAAAATAACCGAGCGCGTCAGACATTGAGAAAGGATGTTACGTGACCCGACCAAAAGTCATGGCCGTTTGTTGCAATTTTGTTTTTGCTGTCCTAGACGTTCGGCCCTACATAGATGGCTCAGCTATAGTGGGAGTACTTAACTACGTGCAAAGTTGCTCCCCACATGTTATTCTGCCGCGCTGGAGTAAATCAAAAATTCCCGCTTGGGCTCCCCTACTATAAGTTCGGTTAATACAAAACGGAGTAACTCGCTTTTTTTCACCTTTATCTTTTTTTTTCAAGTATCAGATATTATCTTCTTTTCGTCAGTCTCAGATTCTCGTCCAGGTTGTTGTTCAAGTGAGACGTGTTACTTCATATTTATTAAAACATGTGTATTAAAATTTCACCTTTAAATGTGCAGTAGTATATTCCAAATTAGTTTGATAGTTATAATTCATTTACGCTTTTATTCACTCACTGCCGTCTGAGAAACTCACAGTATACACGGAGGAAACAGATAAGATGCATCGCACCCTAATATCTGGACAACAATTACGGTTTTCATCACAACCAGATCTTTCTGCACCATTAGAAGATCAAGATATTATACGGAATACCAACCTTAGGAAACGGAAAAATCCTGAAGAAGAACACTTTGAAAATCTGAAGGAGGATCTAATGAGCTCATTTAAGGAATTGATAAACACTGAGATTGCTGAGATAAAAAGTCAAAACCAAAAAATTCTAGAATCTAACTCTCAGATAGTAAAACTATTGGAATTGAATGCTAATAACTACAATGATATAAACACTAAAGTGCAAAATCTTGAAGTTAAATACGAAAAAGCAATGGATCGTATTACTGAGTTGGAAAATCAACTGAATATAGTTCATAAATAAATTATTAAGAATACAGTTGAAATAAGGAATATACCAAGAACTGACAAAGAAAATACACCTGAAATTGTCAATAATATTTATAAAACTTTAAATTTGGAGCCAATGGATGAATTTACAAATATATTCAGAAGAGGTAAAAATAATGGACCTATTATAATTGAATATCAAAATTCTAAGAAGAAAGAAACAATTCTGAAAGCTTTTAAAAAATATAACGCGGACAATAAAAATAATCCATTATGTACCGATGCTCTGGATATCAGTGGTGATAATAACCGAATATTTATATCTGAAGCCCTAACACCCCTTTCAAGAAAGATCTTGGCAGGTGCTCGTGAACTCACGAAAAATGGATTATACAAATACTGTTGGGCATCGCGCGGAAATATTTTACTACGTAAAGATGACGGAGAGCCGGCCATTATCATCACATCCCTTAGTCAAATCAATGACTTGGTGGCGGAATGACTATCTTGGGAGGAACATCGTATAGACCCATATTGTGTTTTCGTATATGCTTGGGATATTGGTATGGTTGATATTTTAAATGACTTATGTTCTATCTGTTTTAGTTGGGATAATTTCTCTAGAATAGTTTTAAGATTTTATACTACACATAATGCATTAACTGGGTTAATATTTGATTTTTATTATCAATATTTATTATATATTCTAAATCAGTATGTTATATTTTTATCATTATATATTTACTTGTTTCTTACACTTAATTTTATTAAATTTATGTCCGATCGCACAAAACAAATATCCATTGACTACATGAATACCACTTTCGGAGGCTCTCACACTCAACCAAAAAGGTTATACTGTTACTTAATAACATTTTGCTATGGGTACTGATATGAATGAAGTAGTTACCGAGATTGATAATAATATCAGTATCGGTGACTCGTTTTTGGTTGAGGATCCAGAAGCATTTTCACAGTATAGTCTTGGAGCAGAACCATCTCTCAAAATTATTGTGCAGAATATTCGAAGTATACACAAAAATTTCGAAGACTTTACTGTTTTTTTAGCGAGGACTAAAGTTGATTACGATATTATTGTGTTGACTGAGTGCTGGCTACAAGGTTCGGATTCACTACCGATACTTGATCAATATAATTGTTTTTGTACTCACAAGCATATTAATCAGAATAGTGGCGTAGTTGTATACATAAAAAGTCAAATAACTGGTGTTATTGTTTACGAGCCCAATATGATCAATACTGACTGCTTAGTGGTAAAAATAGATAATACTCATGCTTTTATTTGTATGTACAGGTCACCTTCGTTTACTATTATATCAAATTTTATTGAGTCCTTGGATGAGCTTTTGTCAGATCTTAAAAATGTACCTAATGTTTACTTAACTGGAGATATAAACATTGATATTTGTCCTAACAACAATGATATACGGTCTGATGAATACATGGATTTATTGGCCACGCACTGTCTTTTACCTAGTCATATATTTCCTACTCGTGTTAATAAATGTCTGGACCATTGTTTCATAAGGTCGAGAGCCAAAAGTTTAACTGTAATCTGTGATTCTTGCATAACTGATCATAGAAGTATTAATTTTAGTGTATCACTTTTCAATAAGAGTTTTAAAAATCAACATAAAAAGACGACACGGAAACTTGATTACAACAAGGTTAGCAAACTAATAGAAGAATTTGATTGGAAAAACTTTATATTGTTGACAGATCCCAATAAAGCAACAGAAATCTTTAACGAAACTTTATCTAGGATTGTTAAGGTAAGTACAAACACTTTTTTGGTACCTAATAGACAGCAAACGATTCAGCCGTGGATAACGCCGGGCTTATTACGATGCATGCGGTTTAGAGATACTTTACATCGAAAACAATTAAAAAATCCTAATAATAAAGACCTAGAACTCACGTGCAAAAGATACAGAAACCACTGTAATAATATTTTACACAATCTAAAAAATGAATATGATAAAATAGAGTTAAGCGATAGTAAATATGACATCAAAAAGACTTGGAAGGTTATAAAACGAGTTTGCCACTTAAAAAAATCCGATAGTTCCCAGATCCCTAGTGAATTATTAAAGACTAAAACAACAGCACAGGATTCTATTAATTACATAAACAATTACTTCGTTAATGTTGGTTCTAAATTATCAAATGAAATACTACAAAAACTAAAACTTAGGGAAGCGGAACTTGCAAATGAATTTAAATTTAAAAATACACCAGTGAACTCATTTTTGATGCTAGAAACCGATGAATTAGAAATATATCGAATTGTAAAATCGTTAAAAAGTACCAACTCTACAGGCTGGGATGGGATATCATCTGTTTTTATCAAAAAATACTTACATTTTCTCATCCAACCTTTAACTCATATAGTTAATTTGTGTTTGTCTTCTGGCATATTTCCAAACGTATTAAAGGAATCTATTGTTGTACCTGTGTATAAGTCTGGGGATAAGGATAATGTTACCAATTATCGTCCTATTTCACTTTTACCTACTACTGCAAAAATTTTGGAAAAGGTTATGAACAACAGGCTAGTGAACTATCTTGAAAGTAATAATATTATCTCTGATAATCAATATGGATTTAGGAAGAAAAAATCTACTTTGGACGCTATTGAAAATTTTGTAACTAATGTGGCACAAAATCTTGACAGTAAAAACAAATGCATAGGTATATTTCTTGATATGTCAAAAGCATTTGACACGGTGTCAATTCCATTGCTGATTCGTAAGTTGGAGTCAATTGGTATAAGAGGTTTGCCTCTTAATCTTTTCAAGGATTATCTGTCTAATAGGTCACAGACGGTAAGAATAGGTGATTACTTAAGCTCCAAACTAAAAATAGATTTCGGTGTTCCGCAAGGTTCGGTACTCGGCCCAACGTTATTCCTAATATACGTGAATAATATGTGTGATATAAAAATCCCAAACTCAAAAGTGATCACATTTGCTGATGACACTGTTATTTTATTTCAACAGAAAACATGGTCCAAAGTTAAAGCATCAGCTGAGGCAGGCTTTCGTAGTGTAATAAAATGGCTTGAGCATAATTTGCTTACCCTTAACCTAAGTAAAACAAAATACTTAAGTTTCAGTATAAGAGAAAACTTGCAACCTACCTCTGATTTTATTTTAAAAGCGCATTCTCCTAGCTGTATTAGTGATGCAAATGAGTGTGACTGCGTTGAATTGTATAAAACTAGTAGTATTAAATACCTAGGAGTAGAAATTGATAAAAATTTAAATTGGAAACAACATATCAGTAACTTAAGATCTCGCCTTCGTAAGCTAATACCTGTATTCAAGAAAATCAGAAATTTGAGAGATGATAAAACCAATAGGGCAGTGTACTTAACATTGTGTCAATCTATTACTAACTATGGCATTTCAGTCTGGGGTGGAGCCAAAAAGAGTACTCTTATAAAGATAGAAAGGGCTCAAAGGTGCATTTTAAAGGTTATGGGTTTTAAGTGCTTCAGGTATCCAACTACTAAGTTGTATAATGAATGGAAATTTTTGACTGTGCGTCAGCTCTTTGTAAAAAGCATTTCTTTGAAACAACATGGCTGTAATAAAAATAATAAAGCATCTGCCAGGCGTTCGTACATGATATTTGACATCCCCGTTTGTAGGACTACATTTGCACATAGTTTTTCGTATTTCCTGGCCCCGCTAATATACAATCGCATATGTAAAACTAGGACTATAAATAATCTAACTAGATTTCAATGTGGAAAGGCTTTAGATGAGTATTTCAGTAGTATGGATTATGAACGGACTGAACAATTATTGCAAGTAAACTAATTTTTATTTAATATTTTATCTTCATTTTGAATAAAAAAGTATAAACATATATATATATAGTTATTGTTATTTGTTATATATTGTACAAACATAGCTATAGTATATTATGTGTTATATTGATTAAGGATATACTCTATATTTAAATATATATTTAATCTTATACATATAGTTGTATAGAAATATGTTTTAATACGATTTATTGTTATAAAATTCATAACATCCATGCATTGTAATTTTCAAAATGTTGAATGCATTATATTATGTATATTATGTTATGTTTTTTAGTTTCCATTGGATCAACATAGTTTCATTGGAATAAACTCCTTTGTTTGTTTATTATTTGTAAAATGTAGTTAATTTTCTGCTTTTTTGCTTTATCTGATTGTTTTGCGTTTACTACATGTTTAAGTAAAACCTGTTATTCCTTATCGTAAGTAATATTGTATTGCTAGAACTGTAGAATCATAGTAAAAATCCTTAAGTCAATTAAGTTAAAGTTAGTTTTTCTGGTGCGAGAATCTTGCCTTGCCGTAACACAGTGTTAACTAGCTCGGAAGGTAAAGAATGTTTGGCTCGTATACCTACCCACACATAAAATAATTTTCTATGAGTATTAACTAAGCAGCTTTTCTTTTAATTATTTACTGTTAATATTGAGCATAATCATGAAAAGTGCTTAATTCCATATTGTTAACATGTTATAACGTGAGTGTGTGTTGTGTGTGTGTTGTGAGTGGAAATTACATAATATGTAAGTGGTAGCTCAATATTGTAACTATTACTTATTATCAATTGGGAATTTAATCGCTGTGTGTTTTGAGTCTGGGGAAACACGGATAAAAAGATTTTTTTATTTTGTTTTCTTTAGATTTAAACTTATGTTTTCTTAGAAAACTAGTACTAGTTATAAATAGCTTAAGAAGGTTTAGGTTTATTGCCAACCAAGGTATACTGTAACACATGTTTATGAATAAAATTCTATTCTATTCTATCTTGTTCGTTTTATAAGATAAAAGGTCGTGTGTACGAAATAACATTTTGTTATTTGTAACTTTATTCCTTTTTGACATGGTTGTTAACTTAAACTGTTTTAAAACATTTGTCTTTGTTTATTGGGAATCGAATGCAGCTGCATAAGTATATTTTCACGCGGACAGTTTTTAGCTTTGGTTTAGTATGCAACCCGTTATCTATGGAATTGTTGATCGAAGATCTGAAGTTAGGTATATTACAAAATTCTAGGTGCAGTTATATTTGTCGTTGTGGAATAAAAAAAATACAAAAGGTTTCATCTCATTGACAAACAAGCTGAAAAATATCAACAAGCTTATTACGTGGAACTTATGCGTAGAATGAACAAACTGGAAATATCTGGACCTGGCCACTTAAAATCAACGAATAATAAATGAGACGGGATGTGATCATCTCGATGCCGAGGTACATGAAGGTCAGCCAGCGACTGCGGTTACAGATTATAGATTATATTGACGCGACAAGTTATTCAAAATCACAATCGCAGATTACCTGTACCGCATCAGCGGGTTTGAAGACGGCGAGATCCTAAAGTGACCTTAAGTCGAGAATTGGCGACTGACAAAACCTATAATCCTTTGAACCCGAAAGAAAAAGCCTGTCGGCAGAGTGGGTCCTTTTTTTGGAACTTTGCAGACAATCTCTATATATAAAAATGAAACCCGTTTTCCGTTGTCACGACATAACATGAAAACGGCTTGACCGATTTGGCTGATTTTTTTTTAGAATATTCCTTGAAGTACGAGGATTGTTCTTACGAAGAGAAAAATTTAAAAAAATGCTTGATAATGTCAAAAAACAAAACTTTTCTTTACTCCCATACAAACGATTCGTAATAATACTTAAAAGTCAATTTGAACTTTAATACCATACCATAAATTTCAAATGTTAGTGGAGAGATTCTGGGAAGGCAAAACAATTGAGCGACGTGATGTCAATAGAAGTTTGGAAAAGATAAATATACCATCTTCAGTTTTTTTATAATCTATATATATAAAACTCAAAGGTGACTGACTGACGTAGTAATCTATCAACGCCCAGCCCAAACCACTGGATGGATCGGGCTGAAATTTGGCATGCAGGTAGATGTTATGACGTAGGCATCCGCTAAGAAAGGATTTTGATCAATTCTACCCCCAAGGGGATAAAATAGGGAATGAAAGTTTGTATGAAACTTTGTCAATTTTAAAACCGAACGGGCTGAGACTTTGCATGCAGGTATAAGAATAATCATAGATGAATGTCATTGTGTATAAAACAAGCCTGAGAACAAAAACTGTAGTCTACGCTTCAGCTCTACACCGAAGCGAAGCGAGGGCGGGCCGCTAGTAGTTAATAAAATTCGATGCATTGGTACAAAAATGGTAGCTTTTTCTTAACAAATCAGGACATTATCACTTGATGATCAAAGGACAGTAACTGTAGAAAGGTACATCAACAATTGTTTGTTCAGAGTTTAAAAGTTAAACTTTCAGTGAGTATGCGAAATAAAAGCTTTTAAAAATTTGGTAATATTTTTTCCTTTTAAACAATTGCTACAAATTCAGAAAGTATCACCTAACATAACATTATGCCCTTTTAATAGTATCCTTTTATTTTTATATTAAAGGCACTGTTTACAGTGTTATCTTACATTTACGGCACTTTTTAGAGTTCCATGTTACATTTTAGGCACTTTTCATGACATCATCGTACATTTTAAGCAATGTTCCTTACATTAACAGCACTGTTTCTAGTGTCATCTTACATTTCAGGCATTTTCCGCAAAAAAGTTTTTGTCTTTCGCAATGACTGGACTTTATCACCTGGAAAAGTGGCCGTTGTCCTGAATTTCTTACCTCTTTAAGTTCTTTGTTGATTATTTTACCCTGCAATGCTCTTTTCAAATCATGCCCGACGCACACTTCAACACGGTATATCTCACTTCCGTCAGGGTCTAATATCTTATAGGTCTCATTCAAACTAGGAGCAGTCACAGGGTGTATAGTAACCTTGTTCAACGATGATAGCTGCGAGAGACCTGAAAAATCTAAGAAAATAATAGGTATTAAAAACGTATTAATTAAACAGTTCTTACTTCTGCGCATTGCATGCATGAAAACAAAATAAGTTCTCAACGTATACGTTTGATATATTTATTTCTAATCATTCAAAACTCTTACTTTTTCAATACAATGATTGGAAATAATATTGTGTGTTTGTACTGAAGTATGCAATACGTATAATTTCATTTCAACCAGTAATATACGGGAAATTCCTGTAAGGTCACGCCTGTTTTTAAAAATTGGAGACAGATACAACTAACCTTTGCTAACAACGGTCCTGACATTCATCCTTGTCCGTCGGTTTTTGGTGCTTTGCACGAAATCCTTATAAGATGACCAAATTGATCTTTTAAGGTTTTACCTACTATTTGTTTTCAGTAATTCTCTTTTATCAACTCTCTTCAAGTGCCACAAAAATCTTGAGTTTTCAAAAATTATCCTATTGAAATCACTTTAAAATAACTCACCAGGATCTGAACTAACAAGAGGCTGTAATGCCATATTTTGCATAGACATCGTGGACGAGACGGGAGCAGATTCATTAGCAGGTGGAGCACTCGCATTCTCGAACAGATTATTCGCTCTCTCTTCAGCTGCATTATAAAACATTTTTCTATTGTTTTCAAAGCACAAAGTTGATGAAGGTGGACTTGCATTTAGCTTCGTCACAGCTAATCTGATCTCTGCATCTAAAGCAATTTCCTTGGCTTTGAAAACCTCTTCTGCATGTTGTCTGTCTAACATCAACTGCTGCCATCGTAAATCAGCTATTTGTAGTTCAATTTCTATTTTTGATTCAATGAATGATAGCACTTGGCCATTTATTGAAGAAGGTATGTTGTCGTTTGGAGCTAAAGATCGTTGCTGGGTCATTTGAAGCTCTTCATTGAGGTCTTCATAACACGGTAAAATCTCTGGTACCGTTGTTGTATCTTCATTCGACATATTTTTTATGTAACTATAGGTATTAGGTACACAAGTAATAATTATATTTATTCGGAAAAAGAAGAACAATAATGATATTTAATTGACTCAAATGATAAGTTTATCTATTTACAAAACACAAAACATTACACGCGAGAGTTTCAACTGCTCAAAGAACCTCGACCACTAGAATAAGAAATCGAAATGACTTAAAGACTCAAGTTATGTTTTTAAATAGCCAATACATTATACGCGTATTTTTAGATGAGCAATATTAACATTGTTTGTGTGTAGGTAACGCGGTAAACAAAGATGGATGTATATTGTTTTCATTTTATCAGCTTTGTTAGCTTTAATATAAGAAATATTAAGATTAAACAAGTTTCAACGGTATAGATGCAATGATTTTTTTATTTACGACGTTTCGCATGCTTCTCAGGCTGCGTCGTCAGAATAATGCCTGAAAAGGATGTGAATCGCCATAAATAAATAATTCAGTGGATCTATACCGTTGAAACTTGTTTTATTTCATGTGTGAAAATATTGAAACCCTAAGAAACGAATATGAATATTAACATTTTAGGCATTTTTAGTAAAATATCTAGTGGTTCAGATCAAACCAGTACTTTCCGCTATTTGGGCAGATGTACGAACTGCTATACGACTGATACCTAATGGCAGTGTCCAATGGCCTTTGGCCATGTCCAATATCTTCTAGTATTTTTTAGTGTTCATGGAAGCGCCAAGGCAGACAGGACAAAGTCAAAGATTTATTGCATAGCATGATTATACCATATTGTAGAAACTTAAAAAAGATGGTATTATGGTTATACTCATGTACATAAAATTTCTTTAGATTTTCATAAGTATATTTGTTTATCTGTAACTTAGGTGAACGATATATAGTTTTCTTAGTTGGGCATTTAACTAAAAGCGTTTGTTTTTTACGAATATTTCTTAGTAATGTTTATTAATATTAATTCTTATCTTTGAATGTCAACAACATGCTAAATGTACCTAATAAAAATATTCCAGTAAATCAGCTTGGGGTAATTAGCAAATATGTAAACAATAAAGATATTTTTTGTATGGTTTTTTATTTGTCTTAATTTTGCTCTTCTTTTTCTGAAATCTTTTAAATGGAAGTCGAAACTCCTTAATTAAATCTGAGCCTTTGCCTATAAAGGCAATAAATTATATTGCCTATAAATATTCTTCTAAACATTAAAGCCCACAGCGGAAAACCTTACATTAAAAAATCTGACAAGAAACTTAGTTAGTTGTGATTTCCCTCCTAGCTTTATTTCATGAAATCACTCGGAATCATGTAACTACTGACTAATACATGAACTAATGTACTTTATTACTTTATGTAATTTTCACACACATACACACACACACACACATCACTCACCCGCGTGGGTGACACACACACACAACAGTGCTTGGTGCACCATCATTTTGGTACTACTATCTGAAATGAACATCAAGTAGTCCTTACATCTATAAAAGAAAAAGGCACATCATTTATTTAAACAAATCTTAAAAGTCTTCCCCGCTGGTAATAATCCAAGGAATCTGACTTAATCGAGAATAATGACTGACGACGTGTTGACCCGAAATCTTATTCAAAAATTAGAATAACAGTTTTCTTGAAGCTTTCCGCCCACCTGTTTCATGCCGCGACTTATACCATAATTTCAAGTGCCTACCAAAATAAATAACATTGAGTTATTATTTCCCAGTACGTTTGTACTAACACCTATATGAGATGACATCTCGCTTCTCGCTCTCTGGAACATTATCTAATCGTAAAGCCACAGTGGGGTCACAGTGTACACTTTGTACAAGTTTATCTGTATTGCTAAAAAACATACTTAGACAATATTTATTATTCTTTTTTTGTTTTCGTACCCGGATATTAGGTAAATACTCAACTATGTAACAATTCCGAATTTTCTATTTCTCAGTCTTTGACGGACTAACTAATGCTTATTTTTTCTTATAAAAACATTCTATTATGGTAAGGTATTTGGCACAATAGTATGATTTAAGTTCTTAAGATATGCAATCCCAAGTTAAATTAAAGAAAAATGTAATAACTGGCGGGCTAGACTGAGGATGTCCTGCCTGTCTGCCTTTATTCCCATTCGCCCCCACGGGGATTGCCATCGGAGGCAAATGTTAATAAAAATATTGAAGAGGGGGCAATGAGTTTATTAATATTTGCCTCCAGTGCAAATCCCCGCGGGGGCGACTGGGAATAATGGCCCAACTGCAGCACCATCACCGAGTCCAGCTGTAAATCAAAAACCATTCAAGAAGGACTTAAACTCTAACATAGACTTTCATAGAAAAGTAAAATAATAAGATTTAAAATGTACGAAATGTATGTAGCTTCTGTAGATTTGCAATCGAATAAGGTTTTTTTTTATGATAAAGGGGTTGCATACAAGCGTATGGTCCGCCTGATGGTAAGCAGCTACCATAGCATATATACGCTTGCTTGCGAAACCAAAATTATTACACGCACCGTTGCCTATCCTGACTCAATCCTCTACCCCGTAGAGCGACGGAACCTTACTCACCGTTTAGACGCACCGTTGCCTATCCTGACTCAATCCTCTACCCCGTAGAGCGACGGAACCTTACTCACCGTTTACTCGCACCGTTGCCTATCCTGACTCAATCCTCTACCCCGTAGAGCGACGGAACCTTACTCACCGTTTACTCGCACCGTTGCCTATCCTGACTCAATCCTCTACCCCGTAGAGCGACGGAACCTTACTCACCGTTTACTCGCACCGTTGTCTATCCTGACTCTATCCTATACCCCGTAGAGCGACGGAACGTTACTCACCGTTTACTAGCACCGTTGTCTATCCTGACTCAATCCTCTACCCCGTAGAGCGACGGAACCTTACTCACCGTTTAGTCGCACCGTTGCCTATCCTGACTCAATCCTCTACCCCGTAGAGCGACGGAACCTTACTCACCGTTTACTCGCACCGTTGCCTATCCTGACTCAATCCTTTACCCCGTAGAGCGACGGAACGTTACTCACCGTTTAATCGCACCGTTGCCTATCCTGACTCAATCCTCTACCCCGTAGAGCAACGGAACCTTACCGTTTCCTCGCACCGTTGCCTATCCTGACTCAATCCTCTACCCCGTAGAGCAACGGAACCTTACCGTTTACTCGCACCGTTGCCTATCCTGACTCAATCCTCTACCCCGTAGAGCGACAGAACCTTACCGTTTCCTCGCACCGTTGCCTATCCTGACTCAATCCTCTACCCCGTAGAGCGACGGAACCTTACTCACCGACAGAAATACGACACGACCAAGAGATAGGGTTATTTCACTATGATCTTCTGTAAGGTGGCGGTTACTCCCCCAAAACGAGCGCCCCAATTCAAGCGGGAAATACACTTTGCCCTACCTGTCTTGAGTTGAGAGAGAAGTTTATGCTCAGCTGAATAGATATAACCCAAGCTACAGCATTAACCTACATGGATTTTTTTTTTTAATTTTGATATCGATAACCTGTGCTTAAGTTCAATATTGTTTATGTAATGTTCACATTAGATAACTAATTTATTGAAGCCATCAATGTCAGTGTTATATATAACTTCTATTATAATTTATTTGTGTTTAATTTATTTAGACCTTATCCCAGTATTGGTCTTTTTTATCGCTATTATCATTATTTGGTTGTTAAGCAGTGCTACAACTATGAGGGGTAAGTACTGTACCTTCCAGGAGCTCGAAAGCGCAGGTGGTTAGCGCGTTCGGCTGCGATCGTGGAAGTTAATCAACTTTCGCAATGGTCGGTCATTGGATGGGTGATCAAAAAATTTTTCTCTTGATATTTCCGTGCTTCGGAATGCACGTTAAGCCGTTGGTCCCGGCTGCATCTGCAATCGTTAGCCCCCACCAAACCGCACTGGGCCCGCGTGGTGGGTCACGGCACGGCGCAATCACTCTATTCCATCCATAGGGAAGGATTGCGCCCCAGCAGTGGGGACATAAATTACTTTGACGACCTCCGTGCCCAAGTGGTTTGTACGCCGGGTTTCAAGGTGTCGCTTACTCGAGAATCGAATCCCGGTGGGGGCAGATGTTTGTGTGATGAATACGAGCATTTATACGTCATGGATTTTTAATATGTATTTCTATATTGATATACTTACATATGCATCAGTATATGTATTCTATCCGTTACCCTAGTATCTCATATCTCATAACACAAGCCTATAGTGCTTACTTTACTAGGCTAATTGGTGTGTTGTAAAAAAAAATATAATAATAGGCTGATGCTGTACCTTTGGACGGCCTTACCACAGATCACTAATATGTCGCAAGCTAGGCTTTACCTTTGGACACTACCAATTGCCCATTCCCAAGTGCACCTAGCATGAGCACCACGATATGTTATATGGCTCGTTTTAATTACCCTCAATAGGGATGATGACTAATTTTTTTATTATATATAATGTATTGGACATGTGAGAGAGAGAGAGAGAGAGAGAGAGAGAGAGAGAATCATTTTTATTGACCACATATTAATTTGCAAAACAACATACAAAAAAAAAATAAGAAAATATACATAATGGAGAAAAGAAAAAGAAAAATGAAGTACCATTTGTGGTCAATCAGGACCCTGCCTCAGCGTAATGCTACCGCAACACGCTATAAAACGTGTCACAGCAGCGCTGGTATTCTGGCAGGGCCTGTTATGCCAGAACCTCACATGGCCAATCGCATCCGCCTCGATAGCAGTTCCTTCCTCTCACTGCCCGTTATGGATACATATCTATCAAAAAGCAAACACGATTAGCCACATGAAGTGCCAGCACAAGGTGCGAAAGAATACAATTTCTGAATTCTGCGCTCCGTAATCTGTGGCTGTCACTTGTTAATGTTACTATTACTGTCGTCACACATACCGTACAAAAACAGTGAAATTGAGTGTACAAACTCAGTAATTGCTCAGCAACTTGAATAGAAAAGGAAAGCAGCTATATAATCCCGTCAGAAACGTGCACCCAGATCACACGATAAGTTTGCCTCCAGGTACCGAATCTAATCCCCATAACTTACTGTCGAGACTGAAAATTGGGTGAGTATCTTTAAATTAATGCGTACATTGCAAATTCAGCAAATGACGTTTTAAGGTAGTCTTCAATGATTGTTTGGATTTCAGATCTCGCATCGGAGGAGGAAGATCATTCCAGCACCTGGAGGCAGCGAACCTGAAAGACCCACGAAAAGCAGCAGTGTGGTGTGTGGGGGTGGAGAAGACTCGAGTGCACCGCCTCTTTTGGTGTTTACTGTCAAGTTGTGCCCATACCAATTTAGCTGACAGATATTGTGGCTTGCCTGTGTGTATGATGCCAAACATTAAGGTAGTGAGGTGCACTCGCCTACGGCTCTCCATCTTCAGCATGTTAGCTGAATTCAAAAATGAGGTGACATGTGTTCGTGGCGGTATGCCAAAACAGAAGCGTGCGCACGCATTTTGAACACGCTGAATAAGCCGTGCTGTTCTAGCCAGTAAACATGGACCATAGACTGTGTCACAGTAATTGAATTTGGACAGAACCAATGCCTCACATAGTGTTATTCTGAGTTTTTCAGATAGATATTGCCTTATCCTGTACAGTAACTTCAGTCTATAGAAGCAGTTACGTACGCACTCTACAATATAATTTTCAAAGTTTAACTGGCTATCCAGAGTCAGACCTAGACTCTTTGCTGCATTTACCCTCTCCACAAGCACTCCATCCATTTCAATATTCAGCAGGCTAGTATTGATCTTATTGATGTTGTTTCTAGTACCTGTGAGCAAAAGTTTAGTTTTATGTGGGTTCAGTACTAGACAATTTGAACGACACCATTTTGATATTCTCGTAAGATCTCCATTCACTCTTTCCACAGCCTCAGTGACGTCGGATGGCTTAAAAGAGTAAAAAATTTGTATGTCATCGGCATACAAATGATACCTGCACTCTTGTATGCAGTCGACCATATCCGCACTGTACAAAACAAATAAAAGAGGACCCAGCAGTGAGCCTTGTGGTACTCCTCGGGTGACTGGCAAAGAAGGTGATCATGTATTTTTTCTTTTTTCATATAATATAAACATTGCAGAGATATATTGATTTGAAAAGTCGTATGACGTCACGTTTGTGTACACTTTTAAATGAAATTTAGTGACGTCACGAGCCCCTACTCCCAAACTTTGACGCGCTATAACTTTGTAATTTTTTTTGGTTGATTGCCCAAAGAAAAAATACGTGTCCATTATTTTTTGATCATCTAACTGACGGTCTAAATAGAATTTGTTTACTGTACCCCGTCATCGCCCCTATTGTCAAATTTCTATGGAGTTCGACAGTTAATACACGATAAAAACGTGATATGATTTGTAGTGCCATGGTCATGCTACGGGGACTGGTGTTGTAACGCACAGCTTGCTTTCGTTCAGCCCCAGAATGTACCTTTTGCAAAATGCACCCAGTGCTTAAACGTCCCTTTCTCAAAATGTAAAATGTATGCCTCTCGAAAGGGATAGGTAACCTATACTAAACACGGAATCCTCTTTTTAAATGAATCTTAAATAACGAGTTCATAATTTTACGCAATAAAACACAGAAGGAATAATCCATTTTATACTTTATTTTATTCTAAACATAAGAAAATTAACAAAAAGACACAAACACTTCCGGACACATCTTTCGGCCCACTTAGTGTTATAAGTTTCAACGGTCTATAGCAAAAATAGAATTAAGTTAGGTTAGGCAATAATAATAAAGATGGTTAATAAATCAGCTTTATCTGCGTAAAAACTTTTTGATCAATTTCACATTTATTTTTAGCTAGGGATCTTCAATACCAAACTTGAAATGCTAGGTGGGCCGGGTGGGCAGTATATCCGGGAGATCCGGGAGTATATTTTATTTAAAAGATACACACAAGTGGATTTTATCGCTAAGAGCAAAAAGGCAGGTTATCATTATCATAATAAACAACAAAAAATTAACCCTCGAAACAGAACTCTTATTAGCTATTATTAAACATCTCTGATTACTTACCTATTTACATAAAGAATCAAAACTTAAGATGCTAGGTGTGCCGATAGATGTGGTGTATATTTTATCGGGAGTATATCCGGGAGATCCGGGAGTATTTATTTATTTAAAAGATACACACAAGTGGATTTCATCGCTAAGAGCAAAAAGGCAGGTTTTCATTATCATAATAAACAACAAAAAATTAAAACTTGAAACAGAACTCTTATTAGCTATTAATAAACATCTCTTATTACTTACGTATTTACATAAAAAAATGCCAATCTTACAATACGGTAATATAGCACTTTTATTGTGACATTGAAGAGTTCAAGTCGGTCACAAAAGGATATCTCTTATACTGCTATAAACTCTAACATTGTTCACGAATAATACGAACTGTGGTCAATCAAAGCCTACCTACTTAAAAAATTTGATTTCAACCAAAATATAGTAAGGTGAACTTATTCATTAATTTCCCCTATCTGTCATTGGACGAACCAGTTTAGCCTACTGTGTATCGGTTAATCCTATCGCCTAAAGGATGAATTGGTTTGACCTAGAAAAAACTAGTTTGTTCTAAAATCGGGTTTTTACCACATTATATAATATAACGAGGTCTTAGGCCGCGTTGTTTCATCCATAACAACTGAATATAATAGGTTGGGGAAAAAATCTTTCGCATTGTAGTATGTATGAACTTGTGATGAATCTCTTTTGCCATTTGTTATCTATTGCTGGATTTTGAAATCATTAAAAAATTTAAAGAGTCTAAAACCAAATTTAAGTAGAATAATGTGTGATTTTCATTTGTTTTTCTCACTGTCAAGACAAGTGAATCTAATGAAGAAATGCGATACATTTAAATTTTTTATTACCGCAAAACAGCCGCATTTAAAAAAACTGGGTGCACAAAATAGCTCGATATTTGGGTGCCTCACGAGCTGACTGAAAGAAACCCATTGAACCGTGTACTCATTTATGATTCTTTATTACGACGTAATTAAACCGAACCATTTTTGAAGAAGCTGATAACTGGTGATGAAAAGGGCATCACGTACGACAAGAACGTGCGAACGTGGTCAAAGGCCAGTCAGGCTTCACAGCCTCTGCCGAAACCCGGGTTAAGTCGAAACAAGGAAACAAGCTATTCATTATGAACTGTTCCTTCAGGCGAACCTTCAGGCAGGACCATCGATTCTGAACTCTACTGCGAGCAACTGATGTGATTAAAGCAAGAAGTTGAGAGAAAGCGACCGGAATTAATCAACAGAACAGAACGCTAGACCGTGAGGTCTAAATAAATGTGAATTTATGTAGCCACCCAGCAAAAATTATGCGAGTTTGACTGGGAGATGTTAATGCATTCGCCGTATAGTCCTGACCTTGCACCTGCATATTTCTACCTGTTTCGGTCACTTCAGAATTCTTAAGGCAGTGTCAGGTTAATACCACGAGAGGACTGCCAAAGCCGCTTGTCGCGGGTTTTTGATCAGAAGCCCCAAAATTTCTTTAGCAATCAAGGGTTTTATGTCCCTACCTACAAGATGGCAAATAGTTATCAAACAAAATGGCACCTACACACTTTAGTTCAATGTTAATAAAATTTATTTAAAAATGTTTTGTATTTTCATATAAAATGCGAAGAAACTTTCTACCCAACCTTATAATACTATAAATTTAATTTGCATAATACTCATATCTTGTATCAATGGTTTGTCATGTAGATCTTTCTTAAATAGATGGTGCCGGATTTATATATCTAGGTTATTAGCGTAACGAAAGCATTATCCCCAGTGGGGGGAGGTACGATTCTCCATTTTTCTTTCCAACATTGGTAATATATAAAAATAGGAACGGATAAAGAACTCTACTCTAAGGATATCATGTTGAGATACCGGCTTCTTCTTCGTAGAAAAACTAGCGATTGCGGATTATCTCGCTCATAAATTTATTATATTTACTTATTGAGGTAATTCAGTTAGAATTACCAGTAAAAATAATAAAGTTTTCGGACCCGAGATTGAGTTAATAACGTGGTAGCACCAATTTAACATAAATCGAAATCTTTTAATATCATCATTTCAGTAACGTTAGTAAAGATAAGTAGTTTTGATCTTAACTCTTAACAGATCTCTATGAAAAATAATATGTATTCTAATCTAATGTGAAAAAATGGCTTGTACATAATAAGTGGGATTGTGCCAAAGTCGCCAAGACATCTTCCTTATTCCTTCATCTTCTCTGGTGCTGCATCAAGCATTGTAATAGAGGAAATCCTGGTAAAGAAAATAAATAAGGGAGTGTACAGGATCACTCAATTGAAACAAATTTTAAAAAAATAAAACACAGAGTAGAAACCACCGCTCCCGTTCCATCACACACCGGTCCCGGTCTATCGCCACCGGTCCCGGTCCATCACCACCGCTCCTCGTCCATCACTGACCACCCCCGGTCAAACGCCACCACTCCCGGTCCAGCGCTCACCACTCTCGAACCATTGCCACTACTCTTGGTCCATCGCCACCATCGCCAATCCATTGACACCACTCCCCGTCCATCACTCACTGCCCCTGGTACAACGCCACCGCCCTCGGTACAACGCCACCGTTCCCGGTCCATCGCTACCACCGCCAATCTATCGCCACCGCTCCCGGTCCATCACCATGGATCCCGGTCCATCATTTACGCTCCCGGCCCATCGCCACTGCTCTCCGTACATCACTCACCGCTGTCGGCCCATTGCCACCGCTCCCCGTTCATCACACACCGCCCCCGGTACATCGCCACCGCTCCCGGTCTATCGCCACCGTTTCCAGTCCATCACCACCGCTCCCGGTCCATCACCACCGCTCTCGGATTATTATTTACCGCTCCCGATTCATCGCCACTGCTCCCGGTCCGTCACTCACCGCTCCCGGCCCACTGCCACTGCTCTCAGTCCATCACCGCCGTCGCCGATGCAACACCACCGTGATGGACAGGGCATTACTCACCGCTTCCAGTCCATCGCCATCGCTCGGGATACATCACTTACCAGACAAAACTTTAACCCAAGTCCACAGCCACCGCCATCAGTGGTCGCCCACCTAGCTGTCCATCATAGCTTAACTGAGTCCTGAGGGTAAAGGGTGTGGGGGAGGACGAGAACGGGGACCGTGAGAGGTGCGGGCGACAGCTGCCTAGCTACCTGTCTCGGAAAAACCTTAAAAAAATCCCCCAGCCGCCATACCATCCGAAAAGGAACTTTGTTCCAAAAGCATACTGTTTTATTTACGATTATAATAAATCAAAGGAAGAAACTCACTGTCGTAGTCGCCCTAGCCGCTCGTACATCATAATTCGTGCGGTATAAGCTACTTTTGCAGTCTCCGTATCCGTAATATAGGATGGGTGACCAAAACATTTTGTGGAGCTTTTCCGTAGTTCGAAAGGTACATTAAGCCATTGGTCCCAGCTGCATCTCTACATTCGTTATTTAGCATCCACCAATCTCACAGGGCGTACGTAGTGAGTTATCGCCCGTTCTCCTTAATGCATCCAATAAAAGACTGTGCCCGTGCAGTAGGAATATTAAGGCCAATGATGATACGTCGAGAAATCTGATATGAAATGAAATGAAATGAAACTCTTACAATTAATAAACATGTTCCTATGAGTGCAGCCTTGTAGCGGACGTCCAAATCCGCTGGGAATTGTATCTTGAAAGAGTCCTTGTTAGTAAGCAACTCCCGAGTCGTTCCACCCCAGAGCTTGCGAATAACTCCTACACGCTGCTTGTTCGGGCATAAGATCTGCAAACAAGAGTAGAGGTGGACGTTTTTAGAATAACGATGCGTGATAACGATGCCAGGTTTGGTTGCGCGCATCCGATGCGACTGGATACCGTTATTGGATGCCGATGACTTCTAGTTTTTGCCAACGTTAATATAGCTACAGTACCACAAACTTATCTGTGCCGGTGCAGATGTCGCTAGCGGTGAACAAAAATGACAAAATGCTATGGATAAATTGTTCTTTAAATTTTTAACAACCGGCACAGGAAAAATTTGTGGCACTGAACTGTGTTCAAAACCTACGCTTTTATGCAACTAATTAGGTAATAATTTTGTCAACATTCAATATTTTCAGTTACCATGCCGAAAGTAAATAAATGGTTTCGATTACATTTTCAAGTCATGATTCACACCCACACAAAACACGCATCCGTCGTAATCGTCGTCGTAATCGCATCGCATCCTGTGATCTAGACTGACATTCACTTAGCTTCGATGCGCATCGATTTCACAAATATCTAAAAAACACCATTTCTAAACAAGAGTATAGCGGACGTAAGTTTATTGTAACATTCGCTTCCGCCAAAACTGCATTTTTTTTCGGTGTAGATTTCAGAAACTATCTTTCTCCCTACAATTTTTTTTCACTGGGATTAAAAGTGTAAAATTATAGTCTTTGTTCTTTGTGATTAGCCATTTCAAAGTGACTGAAAATCCAGCATATGATAGAAACATATATTGATTACCATACGATGTAAGACCCTTAGCACGAACCAATATCGACTTCGAATAGTTGAATTCGATCTCGATACAAGTCAGTACCCTTAGTACGAGTTCGAGCTCACGAAAACTATCATAGTTTTCGTAATTGTAAATTATGTTTCTATGTTAATTTTGGTGAAAAGTAACCAAATATACTAAAAATTTAAGAAGACGCAAATGATTTAATGATAGAATTTAAACACTGTTTATTTGTATTGAAACGAAAACAATAAAATCAGCACCCTTAGTACGAGTGCGAGCTCACGAAAACTATCATAGTTTTCGTAATTGTTATACTCGTGCTAAGGGTACAGATGTCAAGAAGTTTTGTATGGAGATTTTAAAATTCTTGTACGTCCGTTGTGGCGCTGTTCAAATTTCCATTGAAAACTTCTTAATTTTGGTTAGTGCTAAGGATACAGAATACACAGTAAAATAACACATCCTGCGTTTTGTGACTGTTGAGTTGAGTTTCTATGGTGAGGTGAGTAAAAGTTTCAGGATTTCACAGAGAAGGAGACTGATGAAGTAATGACAATGTTCGAAGCGGTACACTTTTCTATCGTACTATCTTTGCAACTAGACTAAACATTAACCCCCTTATTACTAAACGAAGACTAAGCTTGAATTAGTTACTCTATGTTTTGTCTCTGTTCATTGAATGACAAATGGTACTTGAACGATATGAACAAAACGCGGCGTAACTTATCTTAGCTTTTTCCTCGTTGAGGTAATCTGCTTCATTTGTGTCAGTTAAAAGAAAAGGGTAAGTATCTATAATTATTTCTCCCTTACACTTTAGCAAATAACAAGCTGTATAAATAAAAATATGAAAATGTATGCCTATATTTATTTGAACCATTGTTGTCACAGTGTTTGTTAATATTTACAGTTATTATTAGGGCTCTCTTTAGATTTGAGTAAAGGAACATAGTTAAAATAACAATTATTTCTTAATTAGTTTAGTTTTTAGGGTTCCGTGCCCAAAAGGTAAAAACCGGTCAAGTGCGTGTCGTGCCACGCGCAGTGTAGGGTTCCGTAGTTGCCTGTAGTTACCACAATATATTTGAGAAGGAATCTTTATTTTCTATATCGGAAATTAGACAAACCAATTAATATCAATCTATGTATCTCAACTAAAATACCTAAATCAAATTCAAACTGTGTCTCAAATTCAAAATCTATTCGATGTTATTATTTTCTTTAATACGAATGATAACCACCTTTTTTTTTGTTTTCTCCCAGGCGAGGGAGTGGGTGTGAAATCCTCATGGATACCCTACAGCCGGCTGCAAGGTTATGTCAGACTCTTACTAATTAAAAGCTTCATCTGAAGCGATCATCCCCTGAGAAAGGGATGATGTGGTATAACCGCCGATCTTTTCAAGTGCATACTTATTATAAAAACGTAACGTTAGCGTGACTCAGAAGCCGTTGCCGTTAGTACTCGCGATAGCGTTGTGGAACTAACGATTATTTATTGTGGTTTTTAAATAGTTTTTTTTTTTAATTTTGTTGCAATCCAAGGTTTTACGCTATAATAACTTCATCTATGTCACTATTAATGTTTTCTTCTAAGGAATTTTCAATAGATAAGAAATTTTCCTTAACCGTTGAAAGTTGAACGACTATTAATCTTAAAGTAACATCTGTAACCGTTATTGTCGGGGACTATCAACCTCTTTTTTATACTTTTTTTTATAATGTTTGAAGTGACGTTTTAATGTAAAATAATTTTGTTCTTTTTTGTCTGTCAATAGAAATCGTTTGGAAAATTTGCTAACATAGTTTTTCTCTCGTGAAATATTTAATTGTTTTCACATAGTGGCGACCGTGTCAGTTTTCATAACCGTTATAGTTTTCCTTAAAAGTTCATAAAAATCACAATTATCATGATTTTTTCCACCTGTTTCAAGCCAATTGTTTAGCTTTTAGAGAGGGGGGACGCCCTACTCGAACAAAATAAAGCAATTTAAGTCCGAATTAAAAGAAGCGTTATTAAAGATTAAAAAAGCACAGCCTGTTACTGAGAGTTGTTTTGACACAGAGAGTTCTCGCTTTTTAACATATTATACTGAAGCCTAACATGTCACGTCAACTTCTTGTTTGTTCTGCTCAGAAAGTCACGACATAAGTGGCCTCCGTGGCCGAGTGGTTTGTGCGCCGGGATTCATGGTGTCGCCGACTCTAGAGGTCCCGGGTTCGAATCCCGGTGGGGGCAGATGTTTGTGTGATGAATACGTGCATTTGTACTCCAGCCATGGATGTTTAATAGGTATATTCCTATAATAATATACTTATATATGTACTGTATATGTATTCTTATCCGTTACCCTAGCATCCCATAACACAAGCCTTACAGTGCTTACTTTGGGGCTAGGGTAATTGGTGTGAGTGTTGGAAATATTTATTAATATTTGTTTATTTATTTATAAGTAAATGTATTTTCTTTTTTGCACATGAAACTGTTGAAGTGCGTCGTAATTTTATTCGTTCAAATAAATTAAGCTTTGATTGAATGGGTTCAAATCACTCAGCCTTTGCCTGCCTTCAAGCTTATAGATGCCTCGTATGTCAGAAAAAGCATCATACCTTATTACATCTCAATGTTCCAATATCAATGGAAAACCATGTCGCTGATTCATCCTTTGACAAGAGAGCCATTGTTCTAGACATTACTTCCTCGTCAGTTAATTCTGATATTACTAAGGAAGTCAATCACGTAGTAAGTAGTCATTCAATTACTCATAGTCAAGTTACTGCTACGTTAGTTAAAGTACAGTCCATGTCAAGAATCACTGTACTTTCAAATCCTTGGTTGATAAGGAATCTCAATCTTCATTTACTACAGATGACACTTTGCAATCGCTAGGTCTCCAAAAGTTTCCAGCGAATGCTTTTATATCAGGTATCGGTAATCAAAATGACTCTGTAGTAACGAAATCGTCAATTTCTAAGCCTCTATTAATGCATGGCCTCAATTATTATGTTGTAGACGCCAGGGCTCATGTATTGAATAAATTAACGTCCATATTATCGACTCATAAAGTCAATATCGAAATGTATCAAAAGTTAGAAGGGGTAAAAATAGCAGATCTTGACTTTGATTTGCTTCTGGTAGCTGATATGATCAGTCCGATTTTAGTCGTTGGTTTATTCAAGAGTCCTCTAAGTACAACATACAAAACTTAGATGGATTCTATCTGACCAGGTTTCGTCAAAACTTTTGGACAGCCTCCAGTTGTCAAGTCTAAGAAGTCAAGTCAAGAAAGTTAGCTCATATGCCAACAATCGTAAAGATATGCCAATAATCTTAAATGTTTGGAATCGAAGTCAGAGATGAAGTCTCTCGCAGCTAGTAAAAAGATTCTTACTCAAGAAGAGCAAGAAGCAAAGTTTGTTCGCGGAAATTACCAACGAAGATGTATTTAACCAGTGTTCAGTCAAGCTCCTATTCAGCACATTTTTTCCTGATAAACATAGCAATTTACAGATCATGGCAACGAATATACTTCAGTATTTAGAACAAATATTCCCACTACTACCTCAGTACACTGAAGCACGCAATACAGAAATACATATCAAATGAATTCTTGTATCTCACGATTGTTCGATCCGCTGGGGTGGGTTGCGTCTTCCATGATTCAAACAAAAATTTCAAAATTATGGATGTGTGGTTTAGAATGATGAATGATGATTTTTTATCGGTGCGGTGACGGAGAAAGAATACAACTCACCGCCCCTTCTCTTCCCATGGGTGTCGTAAAAAGCGACTAAGGAATATCGGAGCTTGCATCCGCTCTTCTGGTGGTAGGGTGCCTCACACCCTCCTGGTTTATAATGGAAGTCCTCAGGGTGGGTGGCAAACTCAGATTAAAAGCGGTAAACTGTATATTTTTTAACTTAGCTTAAAAAATCTCTAATTGACTACACAAATTAGTGACATTGGTTCGTTATGGTGTATCATGTTTTTTTGGTTTTATTTGCTAAAGCAGTTTACGGCATTATTAAATATTTCGTTACATAGATCACATTACGCGTGTCGTTAACTTTCCATATATTATATAGAGATTTGTTTGACTCCAATATAAATATTTACTTTGTTTATTTATACAATTTTAGCAATGTTTCTTCAGTTATAGTTATTTAAATATTGCTTACGACTGTAATGGATTTATTATTCAAATTCTTTATGTTGTGGTTCATTTATAAAGTTAATTTTTGTAAATACTTTCAATTTATGTTAAAGTATGAAGAATTTCATTTTGCTGAGACTATATAGACTAAGATGTTCATTATCTAATAGTGCGAATGTCACCTAGGTATTTTTATGTATTTGTGTTGTTATATGTATAATCTACTATAAAGATGACTTTTGATTTATAATTATAATTGCAATCTAATTTTTTAAGGACATGCTGTCCATGGTGGGCGGTATGTTAAGAATCAGATTAACATTTTGTATACTAGATGGCAGGAAAAAGTCTATTGAATCGCGCTATCGTTTTGTTTTTGGGTTAACATAAGTATTTTATGTAGAAGCAATAAATGCTCTCACTCTATTTAAAATTGGAACAGGTGTTTGATTCATTACTTAGTTCTACCTCATTTTACGACTTATTGCTATATGCGGAAGAATTTAGACCTTAGTTCTTTGACTCTACGCGCAATTCTGAACGTGCTGTTAGCAATATAGCAGGCACGGTCTGGTGAATGATGGTTATCGAATCTGGCTAGGTGGAAAGATAACTATCGCATGGAACTTGAAGTGGAATTTAAAGCCACTATTGACAACCCGCAGCCACTGACAGAATTTGGTTTGCATTTACTTGAAGACCCATTAAGCTCAGAATCGTCCGAGTTGGAGGGAGAGGAACCACGAGAGATCTCAACCCCGCGGTGGCCCCTGCAATTGGAGACAAGTGGAACAGATGTTCCCCTTCTTGCGGAAGAGGAATTGCGAGATGCTACGGCTCCGCAGTCGCCTCCACTATAAGAGACGCCATCCACGCTCCAACAAAACTCAGAGCGCATTGATGAAGTAGAACACTTTTATGACGCTGAAGAGACAACTGAATCTCGGTACAACCTGAGGGACCGATTGCAACTTCGATCTCTAGTCAAACTCAGCGTTTACGTCACGCATGACGATTGCTTTAACTGCGATTTTCCCGGCACAGACAAAGAGGCAGACAAAGCGTGAAGAAAGCGGATCGTGGATACAGGCTATGGAGAGCGAATTGAATTCTCTCCATAAAAACAAGATGTGGACATTAACTGACCTGCCTCCTGGAAGAAAACCATTTCCATGCAAATGGATCTTCAGAATAAAGTACGATCCGAATGGCAGAATTGAAAAGTACAAAGCGCAATTACTTTTTAAAGGCTTCAAACAGAGGCAAGGTGTAGACTACATAGAAACATTAGCCCTGTAGCCAGAATTGCGGCAATAAGACGTCTGCTAAGTGTCGCTGCCCAGGAACGACTTCACCTGACTCAATTTGATGTTGCCACTGCTTTCCCCAATAACAAACTTCAAGATGAGGTCTATATGTCACAACCAGATGGTTTCAATGATGGCACTCAAAAAGTCTGCAAGTTGAACCGCAGCTTATATGGACTTAAGCAAGCCCCAAAATGTTGAAACATTTTCTTTGCAGAATTCCTCATTGACATGGGCTTTGAGCAGGCAGAAACAGATCCTTGCCTTTTTAAGAGACGGACGGCTCTGACAAACTACTGATCACCCTGTATGTTGATGACGGACTCGTAGCTGCTATTAACGCAGCAATAACCAATCGTTTTCTCCAGGACTTAGGCAAATGGCTTGAAATTACTACCAAACCAGCCACCTATTATTTGGTCCTGGAAATAACTAGAAACGATGACAGTGCTATTATAATTTATCAACCTGCATACACAAGGAAGGTTTTGGAAAGATTCAACATGCAGAACTACAATTCCTAATACTAAGAGAAGAAGGAAACTGCACCGAAATTGGATCCTTCCCTTAGTGAGAGACAGTCAGAGCCCATGCCTACCTCATGGTAAGCACTCGATCCGATATAGCCTATGCCGTTGGAATAGCGGCCATGAAGCTTGAATGTTCCACAACTGGAGATTGGCTACGAGTAAAGCAAATTGTCAGATACCTTAAAAGAGACGGTAAACTGGGGCATTATCTACAGAAGAGGAACTTCTCAAGTTTTGGAAGCTTTCAGTGATGCAGCAACTGGGCGTTCCACTACGGGTGTTCTGTGTTGTTATGCTGGAGTAGCCATAAGCTGGATCAGCCAGAGACAACAGACCGTAGCGATATCGACGACTGAAGCTGAAATAGTTGCAGCAAGTGAAGCAGCTCGAGAACTTGTGTGGTTGAAAGGAGTCTTCTCACCACTGATAAGTGTTCCAATGCCCGCACCAGCTCTCAAGGTCGGTAATGAAGCTGCTGTGAAACTAGCTCACAACCCTGAATTCTACAAATGGACGAAACACATCAGGAACCGTCACATTCTTTGTACGATAGTTTTTTTGACAGGTAAATAATCAATTTTTGTTAATTTAACGCATTTAAAGCAACTTTTGTTCTTATAATTTTTTAATGTATGTAACTGCTTGATGTTTAAATCTAAATAAAATATTACTAGCAAAAATTCCACGCGGACCAGGCAGCAGACGGGACTCGAACCCGCACCCTTCGCAATCCGGGCGAATTCACTGATAAATTATGCTACCGTGGCCCTTACGGACCGCGTCGAAATTCTTCTAGCCATTCTTAAGCTGCAAGGCAGCGCCATCTCTTCGCATTAGCTTTATTAGTGCATTCGCCCGGATTGCGAAGGGTGCAGGTTCGAGTCCCGTCTGCTGCCTGGTCCGCGTGGAATTTTTCTAGTTATATTTTCTTTAGATTTAAACATCAAGCAGTTACATGCTTTAAAAATAATAAAAAATTATAACTATAATTGCTATTTCTTCTTTCAAATGTTTAATACTTGTAAAAGTATTCATTTGACATTGTGGGTTGCCTATAATGCGAAGAGATGGCGCTGCATTGCAGCTTAAGAATGGCTAGAAGAATTTCGACGCGGTCCGTAAGGGCCGCGGTAGCATAATTGGTCTGTGCATTCGCCCGGATTGCGAAGGGTGCGGGTTCGAGTCCCGTCTTCTACCTGGTCCGCGTGGACTTTTTTTAACTTTTGTTATATTTTCTTTAACTTTTGTTCTAATACTTAATATAAACTGATTTAATAGAAAGTATTTGTGATATTCAAATGCATGGTCGGTAATACAGCTGTCTCTTTTCCTTGCGGTCCGTACCTGCTACTTTGCTAACAGCGCATTGAGAATTGCGCGTAGAAACAAAGAAACAAAGTCTATATTCTTCCGCATATACCAATAAGTCGTAAAATTTTACCAGCTTACATTTTGAACTGTCCATAACTCTTTGACGCATGCGTTTTAATTAAAAACTTATACAATATACATTAAAGGTGACTTCAAATATTTAAATAATGCCTTATATTGTTTTGTAGTACGCGATCATCTCACGGAGTTCAGTGGATCATCCAATGTACCTTTTCGACTGGTTTCGGCCACGATTTTGGTTCGTGATGTTGTATCTAAGGTATTTAATATCGTTGTTTTTAGTGCAGTAAATAAAAACGTGTTTTTAGTTTTCTTAAAGGTACCTTTTATATCCATTTTCATCAAGCAACGTAGACCCACAAAAAGAGAAATATCTCTTCAAGGGTCTAGACAACAAAGTTTTTGAAAAACCACCAGAAGGGGACGTAGATCGCCATTTTTAAATTTGCCTTTTATATCCATATACTGAAACAACGATGAATACTTTACTTAACATCAAATATTGCACGCACCTCAAAGTCACACTCCCCAGAAGTGACCGCGCGCCCCTTAACCCTCAACACGAGCTGGTCCCGAGGGTCATTGATGTTGAGCACCGGCTTCAAGAAGGTCATCTGCTGCCGCACCACGCTGGCCAGCTGCTTGCCCACTGTCACCTCCATTTTGTCAGGCCCGAATGTGTACGGTCTACGAAGTGTAATCACCTGAAAGATATAAGGCATCTAATGTTTCATCATTGCTACAAGCCATAAAACCTTTTTACGTGTCTGGTCCAAAAATAAGAGTGTATTGCTTTCAGGGTTCATGTATACATGTATGTACAAGTCTTCATTACTATAGTAATTTACGGAGAAAGTGGAATTACAAGTGTAAGTAACTCTAGTTACTCAGTGGCCATGGCACTTCTAAAAGTGCCAAATTATCGGGGACTCGTAAAAAACAAGGTGCATGGTAGCAATCCCGCTATTAACTATAGTGTTGAAAGCAATATAAATCATTTTGATTTGATTAATTTTTTTTACAATGTTTATATAAGAAATAAAAACTTTTGTTCGTTTACACTAACCTAGGCTAAAGCAACACCTAAATAAAATTTTGGTCTGCACTATAAGAAAAGAAACACACGATAAGTGAACGAAGAGAATGAAACGTTCATCAAGTAAAATATTCTTTTGTTATAATTTATTTAAAAGGTTTTTTATAATACCCAAAAAGGAACCACATTATTACTCTTTATTTTGTGAAAATATTTAAGATGGCCCTAATGCTCAAACTACAAATTCCGATCCTAACTGTCGGATTAAATCGGATAATGTATAGTGCAACAGATCCTAATTTCATTATTACAAAATTGGACTTTCCGATCGTCGATCGATTGATCCTAAAATCGGATCATAAATCGGAGGGGGCATAGGAAAATTCGCCTAATTTCGTCCTATAAAACGTCACACTTCGATCTTTAGACCAGTTTTGTCAAACTCGGATTTTTAAATAGAACTAGATCATATCCAAAACTAGTTTTTTTTTAATATATATAACATTTGGTTACTTTAAATACCGAGTAAGGAGTAATTATAATACACAGATATGGTCCCATTCGTCAAAAACAATAGTTTCCGATTGTTGTAGTTGATTCTTGTGCATGTTGTAGGCCACTACCACTAAGCAAGTTATCTTTTAGCCACTACTGGAACCACCTCCATCGCTACTATCATCATTTTGTTTGTAGGTTAAGCGGTTCCAATTTTATTAAAGACTTCTTTTAGGGTAGCACTTTTTCTTTATTTTAATCCCGACTTGATTATCAAAATCATTGCTTCACTTAATCTGTTTCTTGATTAATGTTTAACTAAATTTAACGGGCTGAAGACTCTTTCCACTTCACCCTTGAACCATGGCAATGAAGTATAGAGACGCTGGCAAAGCTAATAATTTCATTAATATCAAAAATATACCTATAATCGCTAGTTCTTCTTTCAAATATTTAATACCTTGTAAAGGCCTTGCAGCCTAAGAAATGCTTCAGAAAAATCGACATGTTCAATCAGAGCCGCGGTAGCATAATGGTCAGTGCGTCCGCCCGGTCAGCGGAGGATGCAGGTTAGGGTCCCGTCTGCTGCCTGGACCGCGTAGAATTTTGCTAGTAAATTTTCTTTAGATTTAAAGCATCTAGCAGTTAAATGCTTAAAAATATGAATACAAAATGGTTTTATTCATAGCGTACCTACATGGAATAAAGCAAAAATTGTTGAAAAGTAGAGAACCTACGTTTTAAGAGCTAAGCAAGATGATTTAGAGCTAAATCTAGTTCCAAAAAAATCCGTGTTGGCAACACAGCTTTAGATATAATCTTAGTAATCTGTGAACTTCAATCGCACTGTTCCTTTACAACCCTTACCGCTAGAAAATCACCAAACTTAATTTATTTCCGCCAAATATTCCGCAAATATCTCGCTAAGAACTACAAGACAAAAAAAAGAATAAAAATTCTAATTTTCCATCAAATACGGGTTAATACCCCAATTTAGCATCACTGTCCGATAAAAGGAAGCACATCGCCATATCGGTGTGTGTGTAGACAATGCCTCCGATTTAGTATTTCCGATAAATCGAATGATCGGAAGGTGTATAGTATAGCCATTAGCCACTTTAAGTTACACGCTCCATATTCGTCGTAAGAAAATTTAAGATTGACTTAAGCCTCGGCCACAAACAGCGACTAATCGCTGCGAATGCCTACTCGTAGCAAGTATTCGCTGTATATGTCAGGCTATTCGCAGCGAGTTGAATTCGCGTACATGTTCAATTTTACTCGCTGCAAATGCGCACTCTCTGCGAGAATCCGCTGTGCGTGACAGAGTACTCGCTGTGCGAATAGTACTTCCGCACAGCGCGCCGCTCTATTCTACACGTCTGTACTACATGTCGATTCATCGCTGCATAGATATATATATTATTATGATGTATCAACCAAAAAAGATTTTTTAAAGTGAGGAATAACTCATACCTATATATAAACATAATAAATAAAAATAAATAATGTAATAAACATTACAATACGATGTATACGATTCATTATTTTCCAATATACAGCAATTACTACAGTAACGAGTAAACCGAAATCCCTTTTGTTTGACATTTATGATGTTCTATAGTTATAATTACGTCATAGACGCTTCAATGCCTGCTACACATGTAACGATTAATCTCCACAATTAAACTGTGCAAATCGGTTTGCGCACATTTATCGATCGTGTGTATGACATTATTTCATCGATGTCGATATTCGTTCATCGGTGGCAGTTATAATTAGGTAAATCGTTTTTGATTGCGTTAGCACAGTTTTATAGAGACAGCATATAACTCGATTAAATAAACGGATTTTAGCTTTAAAGTTTTTTGATTCACGTATTAAAAATAGGTTTTACTTTTTACCGTTCTTCAAGAAGATCAATCTGTTTCTTGCGTAAATGTTACCATAATACCAACTTTTTTATTCTGGTTTATTGCTGTCATCAACTTGAAGCCGATCGATCTCTTTTGGGTGCGATATACCTAATACCCACGTCGGGTTAACACAACAACAATGTTTAGTGCTCGCTCGCTATTTTAATAGCGTTTGGTGTAATCATTTAGCTTCTCGGTAAAAACATAAATGTGAAACAACGCAAGTACGTTATAAAAACTGGCCAATAGCGAGTCGGATTTGCAATCGCAGTTCCGTACCATTAGTACAATTTTTTCATCATCATTAGCCTATTAATGTCCCCACTGCTGGGGCACAGGCCTTCCCTATGGATTGCATAGGGAGATTGAGCCATGTCCAACTACGCGGGCCCAGTGATCAACGGCTTAACGTGCCTTCCGAAGCACGGAGGAGCTCGAGATAGTAAATTTTTGGTCACCTATCCAATGACCGACAACTGAGAAAGTTGTTGAACTTCAACGATCGCGCTAGCCACATGCACCATCCAGCTCCTCGCACAACTTTTTTTATTTATATCAAAAGGTCGGCAAACAATCGTAGGGCCCGCCCGATGGTTAGCGTCTACCATCATCATCATCATGTCAGCCGTACGACGCCCACTGCTGAGCATAGGCCTCCCCCAAGGGTCTCCACACCGATCGGTCCTGCGCCACTCGCATCCATCGGCTTTCCGCGACCTTCACAAAATCGTCGGTCCACCTTGTAGGAGGCCTGTCCACTGAGCGTCGTCCGGTGCGTGGTCGCCATTCCAGAACCTTTCCGCGGCTACCATAGCTTATAAAAATATCACTCGCACTGTTGCCTACCCTTTTTTTTTTTTTTTGACCCACCTGGAGAAATACCCCGCCGCTGGGTAGGCGACGGGGTTATGTGGGACTCCTCCCCCCACCTCCCACCCACCCACTCAGCCAACCCTAGGGCTGGCTCAATCAAGGGCGGATCCAGGAGGGGGGGGTCATGGGGGCCATGACCCCCCCCTGGGCTGGGTACAGATGGACTAAAACTAGGGGGATTTTATTTAAGTACTTTCAATATTTAATATACCACGACTATATGACCCCCCCCCTGGCGCCAAAGCTGGCTATATGACCCCCTTCTGGTGCAAAAGTTGGATCCGCCCTTGGGCTCAATGGCTGCTCGGGATGGGGGGGCCCTACCCACTAAAACTCCGGGATGTGCCCTCCTTGCCAGCGGTGGCGGCGTGGGGTCCTTACTGGGAATCAACCACGCCGCCACTGTTGCCTATTGCCTACCCTGACCCAATCTCCTACCCCGTGGAGCCCTGAAATCTTACCCACCGACAACACGATACTCAACGACAAATTTACAACAAGTAGAAAAATAATAATACCCAGCAATGCTGTTGAGACACCCAATTTAGTTCTCACGATAATGAATAGGGACACTGTATCACATGGACATGACGTGAAATTCTTAACAAGCTCGCTCGTCTTGTATATTATTGGACGTGTTCTCATACTATGATAGAGAAAAACTCGTCGAAAAAATGAATTCGTCCTCGGTGCGCCTATTGTGAGGTAAGAAATCGACAAATGAGATAGTTCTTTTTGTAAGTATACCTCTAATTGGCAGTTAAGTTAGTATATTATTTGTGATCTCGATTTGTTACTATATTAAACGAGATTTTTTAAGCATTTAACTGAGAGATGATTAAATCTAAAGAAAATTTTATTTGAAAAAATCCACGCGGTATCCGCCCGGCTAACCGGGGTGCGGGTTAGAGTCCCGTCTGCTGCCTGGGGGCCAATTGTCTAATTGTGCTATGTCTACCGCTATCGCTTACGATTTACAAAATAAAATCGGCTTTCAAATTCTTCGCGCTCTTTTTTTTCTTATGAATTGGTAATAACAATATTAAATAAAATGAGCGTGAGGTATTTGAAAACCTTCGGCGGTCAGAAATAACAAAATGAAAGCGTTAGCGATAGCTATAGCAATCCATATCTCCCTGGTCTGTGTGAATTTTTATCTAGGAAAATTTTCTTTAGATTTAAGCATCTACATGGTAGAAATTATAAATATGACTACAATTGCTATTTCTTCTTTCAAATGTTTAATACCGGTTTTCATTGTTTCGTTTGACATTGTGGGTTATCTACAATGCGAAGAGATGGCGCCTTGCAGACTAAGAAATATTAGAGGAAATTCGCCACGGCCATGAGGGCCGCGGTAACAAGTGGTTAACTTGTTTTTTTTTTTATTTCCGTTTGCCCTTAAAAAGCGCCTCCTAACGTTATTCTGAGAAAATGTTAATTTTGTATAACAATTGCAAAATATAATCGATGCAATGAATCTGTCGTTACAAAATTTTATATTTTCATGACACTATAGAAGTATCATGATGGATTATGGTATTTATTCATTCAATTCATTTAATATACGATAGCATTCAAAATAATTTATTTTGATTTCAAAACAAAGAGTACAAAATTTAACCCAACCTATTTCATTGCTAAGTTAACCATAACCCTAACCTAATCACCTCGCTCTAAAATCTACGTAATCATGCCGTAAGGTATTTTACTGCCTACAGTTAAGATCCTAAACTTTGATACAAAGTAATACCTTTGATTAAGTAATACATATAATTTAAGTATAGTTTAAGTATCTAAAATATGGCAATATAATGCTAATTGATGACAATTTATGCAAGGTTTTTGCAAATGTTAGCTTTCATGGTAAATATATCTAAACTCCACAGTGAAAGATAAGACTTTGAGAGGTCAAAAACATAAAAATTAAACATGTTGGTATAGGACGTGTTCGCCTGAAAGTGTTTTATTTAGGCGCAGAGCTCACCGGGAGAGGCTCGGCGAAGATACTACGAACGGCCAAAAGCCATGGAGCGGCTCGCGGCGACTTCGAGCGCGGCCTAGAGCCACATAGCGGCGCGCGGCGACTTTGAGCGCGGCCTAGAGCCACATAGCGGCCGCGGCGACTTCGAGCGCGGCCTAGAGCCACATAGCGGCGCGTGGCGACTTCGAGCGCGGCTTAGAGCCACATAGCGGCGCGCGGCGACTTTGAGCGCGGCCTAGAGCCACATAGCGGCGCGCGGCGATTTTGAGCGCGGCCTAGAGCCACATAGCGGCGCGCGGCGACTTTGAGCGCGGCCTAGAGCCACATAGCGGCGCGCGGCAACTTTGAAAGCAGCCTAGAGCCACGGAGCGAAATAGTCACGCACCGGCTCTCGTGGCCGCTTTGCAGCGCTGTGCGCCGCTTGTTTATTGTTTCATATTAGCCATGAAACTTTTAAACTTACGATATAATAAATTGTTAACTTCTCAGTATCTTCGCGGCGCCTCTCCCGGTGTGCGCTACTCCTAGCTTACTTCGCCGACACCTAAATTACGCACACATCAATATTTTAAACCAACAATAAACGTGGGCGGTGGTGAGGCCCAGACTGTTGCCATTGCCCCGGCTGATTGCAAAACGTTACGAACTGATTAATAGCACAATCACTTTAAACAGGTGCCGATAGAAAACTCAACCAATTAACTTCAGAAAATGTATGTAAACTTTTCAGCTGTCTACATTCGGATTGCGTGAGAGCAACAGCAATCTTATATGTTATGGTCTTATATGTTATCTTCTATTTACAGGTTTAATGCAATTAACATGTTTTGGTGAAAACACAAAATTTAAGCATGGAATTTAAGACTTTCTCGTAAGCAACGAAAAAAAAGACAATGTGACTCATCAAACATTGGTAAAAATAGGTCAACATCCAAATAGTTTTTATATTTAAGACTAATAAAAAATTGTAGACAGTCGCAGTCGCGTGTCCACTAAGAGAGTCCTAATGCTTTTACTGTGTCGTGAAACTGGAACTAAGATTAAGCTGCGATACTACGGGCTTAGTGGTAGATTTACGATTATAGTTAGTATTACGTCGATTTCGGCGTATATTCGTGAGGGAATTGCAAAAAGGAAAAAAAAAGGGAAAAGTAACAAATTTCCGCGCCCCACTTGATATTAAGTGTAGGTGGAGTACAGTGATGAAGATAGCCGATGCGACCGATAAGTGCTGCTGCAGCCATTCCATAGAGCAACACGAAAGGGAGAAGCCATAGCGACATAATACTATTCAATATTCTGTAATTTTTGCGGGGGAATATGCAGACAAACGCAATTTAACGAACGCGCATACGAGTAAATAACAAAATTGTAACTACGACGCTCACACATAAACAATGATCACAATAGATCACCAAATTATGCACATATGTATCACTGTAGGCCTCATTTATATCTATCTATTAAAAACCCAACAGTACCCAATCGTCTGTCGGAATGGGTTTGTGGGATCCTGAAACTCTCCGAAAATCCCCAGTGCTTCCTCCTTCTTGCGGTCGGGGGAAATAAAATTTTCCGATGCCTTTGCGAAGTAGCAATATGCATAATTATACTTGTTCATCGTCCAACAGTGTTTCCAGACCAATACGACATGAAAACCTTTTAAAAAACAAAGCGTACTCCTTGCTTAAAGGACATCATCGCATTTGTGATACTCCTGGTGTTGCAGATGTGTATGGACGACACGGTGATCACTTACCATCAGGTGAGCCGTCAGCGCATATGCCCCCTATAATTTAAAAAAAATCGCCATCAACATCAGCCCCACTGCTGGGGCACAGCCCTTCCCTATGGATAAGTATTAACATTCAGCCGGGACCAACTTCTTTACGTGCTACCGAAGCTCTCTGGATAGTAATTATTTGGTCACCCAAATATTCTATATACCTCTGATTTAACTGAAATGCCTACCTTATTGTCCTGCATATCGGTCATAGTGATATCGAAGCTGCGATCCTTGCCCATCAACAGAGTGGCCCCGCCCGACTCCTTGGCGCGGAACAGTGGCTCCCCATTCGGATCTACCACCATGTACTGATTGCCAGAAAGGAATGTGCACTTCTGCCTCACGCATACCCCGTCAAGAAGCACGAGCCGATTGATCCCTGGAAAAATCCAAGCTAAACATTAAATACAAGGTATACTGCCCGGAAAACTTCCGGAGCAGCGAGCATAAACATTAGAAGCCTGCGCAGTAGCAATCTTACATGCAGAAACGTTTACTGCGTAAGTTTACTTGCTTGGTGGTTTTGCTCAAGAAATTTACCGCTAGCTATTACTATAGTAACTACCTAGTTACTATAGTAATAGGTAATTACTAAAGTAATAGATAATTAACTCTACAAGCCAACGTTCGCAAGTTTCAACACGTGTTTGTTTCTGCGGATCAGTCTGATCATATATGCTCCAAGGTCTGATAAGTCAAATTATGAGGCACCGATTTTCATACTTTTTAAGATTCCGTACCTCGAAAGGAAATAATGGAACCCCTAATAAATCACTTAGTTGTTTAAGTACTGTAAATAGTGAATATACTTTTATATGTACTGTATATGTATTCTATCCGTTACCCTAGTATTCCATAATACATGCCTTACAGCGCTTACTTTTGGGCTAGGCTAATTAGTGTGTGTTGGAAATATTTATCTATAATTTTATTTAATATTATTGTAGCCTTGGTGTCATCTACTTTTTGCCCCTCCACACACACACACACAGTATGCGTTGAGTCCGTGACAAGTTCTCGGCGGACATTTTTTTTACGATTCAGGGACTTTTGTCCCCCCGTGTAGAAGTCCCTCGTCTGAGCAGACAATTAAATCTCTTTCCAAATTATTTCTAGATATAGAACCCTGTCACAGACAGATAGCGGATATATATAATGACGTTTCGTTTGTCACTCTGTACCCTTAGAACGAACCAATATCGAATTCGAATCGTTTACGAGTGCGAAATGTCAATGTCAAATTTTGTATGAAAACTTGAACAGCAGCGCCAAAAAGTACGTAACGAGAACTAATAATAATCAGTACACATTTGACAATGACACTTAGGACTCGCAAACGTTTCAATAATTAATAATTTAATAAACACTGATGATGCAATGCGGGTCAATCATTTCATTTCATATTATTGAATGACAAAATTGTTCTAATTGCTATTTAGCAGCTATTGTAACACAAGTACTACACATACCTACATTGTTTTAAACTTTCATGGTCACTAAACGGTCCTTAAATAACAATATTAGTTCGTTATATTAAAGACTCGAGAACAAAAACAATACTATACAAATCCCTGTATATAAAAATCCTCCAACAATATTGTATTACGACTTAGAGAAAAACAACGGCTCACACTTTATACCTAATTCTCTTCGAATAGCATCTAATTCTGGTTGTTTAGATTTATTGTGAATAAAAACAATAATGCATTGTAAAAATATACAAATATGCGAGATGCGAATCATCAACTACCATCCTACGTCAAAATCACAAGTACATATACTATAGAGCCAGCGCGCACTTGTGATTTTAACACGCTTTTATTAGGTCGACTTGTATGTAAGTACCTATGTAATGAAATCTAAGACACTGAATTACACGCACTTCTAATTCTCGTATCATCATGAAACTTGACAATTATATGTAAATTAGGTGACAATACCATATTATGGTTTATCGAACAGGTCTAATGATGGGACTGGAAGGTGGCTGATGGAACCTTGGACTGTAAGTAAACATATGAAGTTTGGGCTCATTAGATTCGCCTTAACATATACTATTCATTTCTCGTGATGACGAGAGCTTGACGCTGGACTGGCAGGTGACCGATGGACCCTGGACTGCCTACTAGTAAATATATCGAATTTGGGCTCATAAGATTCGTCTAAACATAATAAAACTTTGCAATTATATCGCACCTCCGGTGCGACACTGTCACTTATGCAAATAAAACATTTTTTCAGGAGAAGCGTTTGAAACTTTAAAATCCCAAAACATATAATATTTAAAGTTTTTTTTTTTTAAATGAATAGCTAAGTTGTATAAGCTTTTCATCACGTAAAAATCTTTAAATATTGTATGTTAAAGTTTGATGGCAAAGTTTTAACGCTCATCCTGAAAAATTTTTTTTTTGCATAAGCGACAGTGTCGTACCGTAGGTGCGATATGTAGATTAGGTGACAATACTTAAGAGCACATAGTTTACACTTCAGCCCAGAAATAGCAACAACTTGAACGATCCATTATTTATTTTTGGTTTGTTTTACGTGAATTTATAAAAGCGTCTTTTTCTATTTTTTTTTAAACTATTTTAGGTGATTAATCTTTTTGTCATTATCTTACTATAACCGTGATCAAACCATAATAATGTGTTTATAATGGGTTTAAAATAAGATGTAAAGATAGAGAGAGTACCTATCGCAAGTATTCCAAAAATGTAATGTAAGTGCATGTTTGCATAACGGTGTTTGCTGGAGCGATAGTGTCGTTTTGTCAAGACATGATTTAAACACAGCATACCATAACATGAACTGAACTGTCTAAGCATAATAGGGTATTTTCCAAATTTATGAAAACTGTTTATATTTAAAGGTTGGGACAACCGATTTAACAGAAAAATAAAAATAAATGAATTAATGTCTTTTTTTCGCCATTAAACCAATTAAAGTTGAATTTATATTTAATGGATTTGAATTTACCGCCAAAACGCTCGGTTCGATGACGTCTACTGTGTGACGTCATCTTTGTGTATGCTGCTATGTAATCATCTGAAGGTCAAATTGTTAACTTTATTTACGTTCGTGATAAATTTCTAGTATAATACTTTGCAAATTTCTTCGCTGCAAAACATTACAGAACTACAATTTTGGTATGTGAAATATTTGCCCAAAGCCAAATACTTATTTACTTAAAAAAGCAATTAAATTATTGCTCCTGGGGTAATTAATAAATGTTATGTGTGACGAACTATTTGTAAAAAAATCTTTCATTTTTACTGTATGTTATGGTAGCGCCCAAAGAAACACTATTCTATTGAAATTATTGAGATTAAATGGATAGAGCCCTGTGACAGATGGACAACAGAGACATACTTTGTGTATAAAAAGCTACTAGATAAACATTATAAGAGGGATGATGATGAGGTAAATTAAACGAAATTCTATTTAGTCCGTCAGTTAGATAAAAAAAATACTTATTTTTTCTTTTCTAAATTAACCAAAAAAATATTTCAAAGATAAAGCATGTTAAATTTTGGGAGTGGGGGCTCATGACGTCACTTCTAAGAAAAACTTGTACTAAATTCATGCGATGCGACATTGCAAATCAATCTCCCTCTGTACATCATATTTTGATTAGTAACGTGAAAAAATAAAAAAAATAACGTGTCCAGTACCTTTTAATAATGTAGCTGATAGACGAAGAAAAAAAACTAGTCATCTTCCATATTGTAGACTTAAACAAGCTTAAAGTTTGTTTTAAGACTTTAGTATTTTATTAACTGGTGGTAATAAACATTAGCGCAAACTAATTTAAACTTAACTTTCCCCGAACCTTTTAATAACTGTCTATAAAATCAGACACGAATATCTGCACCAGTTACAAAGTTGGTAAACACAAAAAAAAAGAAGACAACATACCTAAAGGAACCTCCGAAACATTCATTTTGTTCACAAATGTTGACATTGACTCCGCACAATGATAAATTGTTTTAATTTCGCATAATTATAATGTAAAGAAAGAACAAAAACGAGTCAATTGTTATTGTGGTCCTTTTTGTTACAAAAACTTTAGACTTTTTAGGAGATTATTTTTAAAATCATTTGATTTGTATACCGGTTTATTTTGACGATAAATTCACATACGCACGCATGCGACCACAACGAAACTCAAGTGGCGACTGGCCCGACTGAACTGAGTCATAATTACAATGTCGTCTCAACGTTCCATCCATGATAATGTTTGTCTCGTGTCTAGCCTCTCTAAAACATGGTTTTTTGTTTCAGATTGGCCATTACTGCGTGTTGTTTATGTACATTCTTGCAGATAACAGTGTTAACAATTTGAGTCACTCGATGGCTCAGTGGTTAGGTAAGGTTATGAAAAAAATTACCTTGATCTTTAGGTCCCAGCTAAACTAACACTAACTTTTGGTGGTGTTGTATATATGTCGGTGAGTAAGGATCCAGGGGGTCATTCGCCTAACGGAAATGCTTTGGAAAACGCTAACGCTTTCGATTTAATTTTGTTATTTCTGACTGCCGAAGGTTTTCAAATACCTCACGCTCATTTTCTTTAATATTGTTATTACCAATGCAAAAGAAATTAAAAGAGCGCGAGACATTTGAAAACCTCAGGGGGCTAGAAATAACAAAATGAAATCTTAAGCGTTAGCGTTTTCCAAAGCATTTCCAATAGGCGAATGGCCCCCCGGGCTTCACGGGGTAAAGGATTGGCTCAGGGTCCGGGTTACCAACTTTTTGCCTTGTGTCCGGACTTTGTCCGGCTTTTTTTAATTAGTTGGAATATGAGTAAAACTACTTATCAAGTTATATCAAATAAGTCAAATAATATTTATTAAGTTCTCATTAATTTAAAACAAAATAGTTATAAATTATCTTTAAAAATCAACGAGACCCCCCCTCGCGATGCGAGTGTCTGCTACCACGTGTATAATATCTCTGTAACTAAGTGGGTGATGTTTACATTTTGTGACTAAAATGTCCGGACTTTTATCGAAATGTCCGGCTTTTTTTTGTCAGGACTTTTCAAATAGTAACCCTAGTCAGGGTAGGCAATGGCGCGAGTGATATTTTTGTTATCGCAAGCGTTTGCTATTGTAGCTGCTAACCATCAGGCGGGCCAAATGCTTGTTCGTCACCCTTTTAACATAAAAAAGCTGCATCTACATTAAAATAAAATAAAGAAATATTTCCAACACCCACACCAATTAGCCTAGCCCCAAAGTAAGCACTATAAGGCTTGTGTTATGGGATACTAGGGTAACGGATAGAATACATATACTGTACTTAAATAAGTTTATTAGTTTAGAAATACATATTAAACATCCATGACTGGAGTACAAATGCACGTATTCATCACACAAACATCTGCCGCCACCGAGGATTCGAACCCGGGATCCGGGACTCCGTGGCCGAGTGGTACAAACCACTCGGCCACGGAGGTCGTCATTGGGCTAGCACCTCCAATCTGCGTTATAACTCTTATTCCCTATTCCATCATAAGGGAAGGTCTGTCCCGGAGTAGGGGGAATAATAAATATTAATAAGAAATATCACTAGGCTTGTGATGGAAATGTAAACAATCTGTACAAAAACACAAATTTTAAAACTTGATTGTCTATCTATGAATTTATTAGCTAATATAATTATATAAAGTACTTTATTTAATTAAATGAAAAAAAAAGAAAAAATATTCCAATGAATTAACCGAACGCTCAATAAAATTAAAAATTAAATTGGTCGGTGCATTCGCCCGGATAGCGAAGGGTGCGGGTTCGAGTCCCGTCTGCTGCCTGGTCCTCGTGGAATTTATTCTCGTTATATTTTCTTTAGATTAAAACAACAAGCAGTTACATGCTTGAAAAATAAAAATTATAACTATGTTGCTATTTCTTACGTACCTATATGAAATTCCTAAATCATTTTAATTTCCATAGCACTCAGATAAAAAGTTTCTAATATAATATGACCAAAAATTACCATCATCTTTGGTAGTGTTCGACAGGCGAGGGTTCCAGGGCTCCACGGGCTATGGGATGAGTTCAGGGTAGGCTACGACGCGTTTTAAAAATATTAATAGTTTTTGGTATAACAAACGTATTTATAGGAAAAAAACAAAAATCAGGAATTTTCGTCCCATATTGTTGTATGGTTAAAACCATCAGAAGGAAAGGCCCATAAAAAGTAGTTAGGCCCAATCTCCCTATTCCATCCATAGTGAAGGCCTGTGCCGCAGCAGTGGGGACATTAATAGCCTGATGATGATGATGAGGTACATCAAGTTCTAATGAATGACTAATTTGATTTGATCACAGCAACAAATCAAGATTTTGGTACTTTATGTGGTAGAGGCTAGAGGGGCAGATCAATTGCTCGAAAATTTTAAGATAAGACAGGAATATTTTAATCTATATACAAGCGTGTTTTGTTTTCGGTAGCACAAAGTAAATTTAGACCATGAGTAACAGTAACACCTAGTCCTAAACAAAACTATTATCATTGCAACCATATTGCATCATTTGCGCGCTTGATATTCAAAAACAACTATTCAAGATAACTGTGCAAACAATTGGTATTTTCTAGGTACATCTAGATACTCTTCCAGAATCACATACTGGGTTCTTTTATAAGAAAAACAAAGATTAGGCCAACATATTTTATTGAAAAGCACCTAAATCATACTTTTAAACATAACAAACTAATCAGTCTGACGAAATACTTATGCAAAATAAAATTGCACAACTATCTATAAATATTCACTTGTCTTTCTGAGTTGACTTAACCTTCTCAGATGACGACTCTTTCTCAGGTGCGATATCCTGGACGGGAATGGTCTTCTCTGCCAATGGTTCTGACTTGAAGGCGGTTGACTTATCCTTCTCAGATAACGACTCTTTCTCAGCTGAGATATCCTGGATGGGAATGGTCCTCTCTGCCAATGGTTCTGACCTGAACGCGACCAGCTTCAATTTCCCCTTGTCCAAGTGACACTCCACGCGTTCCGGAGGAAAACCTTCGGGTAGCAAAAACCTTCTTTCGAAGTGACTCCTCGTCCAACCATCTTCCCTTTTCACCTCCTTCTTCCCTTCAATCGTTATCTCATTTCCAACTGTCTTCACCTGGATCTGTTCCGGGCTGAAGTTCTGAACATCCAAATGCACTTCCACTTTCTTCCCGTCGACTTTCACTTCGGAATCCGAGTACACACCTTCGATTCCATGGTGATCTTGCAAAGGAGCCGTCACTTGCTTCATGTACTTCAGGGGGTCGCGGAAAAACGGGTCCTTGGCGAACACGGTGAAGGGATCTTCCAAAACCCTCGTGAAAGGGTCCCTGTATGCCAAATTCCTCAGATGACGCAACCAATACGGCACCAAAGACATTTTGAGTTTTATTATTTCGGATTTCGCTGAAGATGTTTTGTTTTCTCGTCGCTTTGTCAATTCAAACTGTTGCACCCATCGCGCGCTTCGGCCTTTATATACTCACACGAATAGCGCGCTCTGTCGACGAGAAAGTGCAAGAGGTATCCAGAATATTCCAACGAAGTCTAGTCGTTTCAATGCTTTTCGACTCGCCCTTGATTCCAACGCCATCTAGTGTTGAGAAGTGGAACGAAGCATAACATCGGTTCTTATTTGCTGTGAAGAATTGGAACATCTGGTGTTCCACAGTTTTATTTAGTTTCATTGCCCTTAAGTGTTTTTGACGTGACAACGTCTTAAATTAGGTTGCGGCTGGGAGTCACTTATGAAAAAGTGTAACGCTCGGTAACGTTACGATGAGTCTCTCGTGTTAAGTTTAAGTTTACATGTACAATGTTTTAGTAAACAAAATATATTTCTATAGTTAAAATTTGTGCAATTCTTATTTTCATTCAATTCCTTGTTCCTATTGTGCAATTTAATTATATTCATATCAATAAATATTCTACCGAGAAAAAGACGTTGTCACGTAAAATCTTCGCCCGTAAAACCGACTTTACAGGCAACCATTTTTTTTGTCTCCATTCCTCTTTTACAATAGCAGTACGTATCTTTGCTCATGTATTGTATTGTGATAGCAGTGCTACGTATAAATTATTCAACATGCTACGGCAGATGGCGTCACCTAGACAAATACATGAGATATATCTAAGCACCTACTAAAAGATTACAAGCTCAGTGCACCTATTAATAAGCTAATAGTCTTTTTGAACTTCTTTATAGTAGGTAGGGGAGAACAGGGCAATGGGAGCCTACTAAGGGAAAGTTGTAATAAAAACCACGTTACTCAAAATTCTTGTATTTTTTTATTATAAACTCTTATCTTTATTATAAGAGAATAAAATAATTGTAGTTATAATCAATCACAGACATATATTAAGGTACAATGACAGTTTTACAAAAAAAGTCAGTCGCTCCTATTACCCGACAAATGCGGCTAATGAGAGCCCACTTAACGCTCATATGGGAAATGAGAGCCATTACAATTACTCTTAAAGAAAAAAAAATAGCAAAACGTACTATAAATGAGACATTAGTTATTATAATTATCAATAAAATAAAACTATTTGTAACACAAATTAAAATGACAAAAAAATCAAACAAAACGGTGATAAAATATGAAATTATTAATGGAAAACAAAAGATCCAGACTTTACGGATCCAAACAAAATTCACAAATATAAGTATCTGGGCTATCACTGCCAGAACACTCTTTGTGAGCCCAGTTTCCGCAACTTCTGCATCGGTACCACATCTCTCCACTTTTTCCATTATCTAAACAAATTGCACATAAATTGTCCTCTTCAGAATATTCTGACTCATCATCGCAGATAGCATTTTCGTCGATTTGATCAAGAGATGAGTTTTCATCATCACTTTCACACAAATATTTTGTTGCCTTTCTAACCCTTGTGTTTCTGGTTGTAGTCCTCTTGCTTTTAATCTCTTTATCTTTAGTATGTTTCTTCTTAATACATTTTCCTTTGGGACATTTTCCCTTGACACAATTTTCTTTATCACAGTTTCCTTTATTTTTCTTAATTGTCTTTGTCTTATTCTCCTTTTCAGTTCTTTTTCTCTTCTTTTCTTCAAATACTGCTTTCATTGGAGAACTTGTTATTATTTCAGAATGCTGTTTGTTCTTCAACGGTTTTTGTTTTTGAGAGATAAGTTGTTGAGGCAGTGGGCTGACAATGGAGACAACATTAGCAAAGTCAATATTGGGCGGGGTTGCGATAGGTCTGATAGTGTGTGTCTCCAGACTAGCAGGCAGTTCTGGTGTTGAATATGATGTCGGTGGAATTGAAACTGGAGTTGCAGCAGCTTCCCTTTGAATAATTTCCGGTTCAATTTGCAGATCACAAAAAATAGATGGACTTGTTGCAGGGCTAGCATATGGTTGCTCAGCTTGATTTGATGTTGATGGAATAGGAGTGACATTGGTTGGCTGCTGTTGAGCGTCAGCCACTGGCACAGCTGATCTGGATTCCTCATTAATGAAGTCATCATCACAAAAAACTCCAGGATTCATAGGGAATATTCCTGTTGATTTAAAGCTCGATACTCCTTTTTCTATAGAAGCAACTCTAGTATAAGCTTTGTTAAACAGTCCAGCAATGTCGTATGGAGTAATTTTTATCAAATTTCTTGATTTTATATACAAGTTGCACTCTTTGTTATAAGCTCTTTTAAGAGGGGAATAAAATGCAACGTCAAGGGGTTGTAGACGGTGGGATGAATGTGGAGGAATGGTTAGCATTATGACATGGTTCTCTTTTGCCAATTCCCAAGCTTCGAGAGTAGCATGGCTATTGTGGTTATCCAATATTAGCAACACGGGTGTTTCAGCAGCAGGTTTGGCGTGTTTAATAAAATGACGAAGCCATAAAACAAATATCTTTTCGTTAGTCCAGCCATTATGTGAACATGTGTAAACGGCTCCCAATGGTCCATCTCTTTCCAGTTGCGGTGAGTGACGTTGCCGGGGAAATATGAAAAGCGGAGGAACGAAAGATCCAGCCGCACTCATAGCACATATTACTGTGACCGTCTTACCTCTCTCCCATGACGTTACAGACCCGACGCGTTTCTGTCCTTTGGGAGCTATAATTTTTTCAGTCTCTTGGACAGTCGTTATACCAGTCTCGTCTACATTGTAAATCATTTGAGGTTCAAATTTATGTTGCTCCATCAATTTCTCCAAGTTATTGAAAAAAAGCGTTATCTCAGTCTTATTAAATCCGAGAATTCGGTTGATACTGATGGCTTCAGGCTTTCTTATACTTAAATCTGGATGACGCTGCAAAAATCCAGCCAGCCAATCTTTTCCTGCAGTTTGTTTGTCTTGGTTAAATCGTTTCTCAATACCTAGTTGTTTAGCTACACTGTAACATACTTTGCGAAACTGTTCTCTTGTCAAACCATAAAATTTATTTGACATAGTCCGAAGATGGTTAGCCAGTATTTCTTCTTGGGCAACGTTAAATACAGTGGGTCTTCCTAGTTTAGGAGAATTTTTGTAGCTACTATCGTCAGCTTTCGCTAAATTGTATCTCTTCTTTAGAGTGCTGTAAGGAATGCCAGTTTGTTGAGATACTTTGTACACCGAACTGCCTCCTCTTTTGAGGACAGATACTGCATTTTCTAATGCATCCACTGTCCAAGAAGCTTTTGTGGTTGTTCGAGTCCTTTTACGTGGCATCTAAAACAAAAAAAAAACGAAGCATTTTATCAACTGGGGTAATGGTAGCTATGTCGGGTAGTGAGAGCCTAGCTAGGCTACCATTAGCCGCTGACCACCATTTTGAAAAGTAATAATATAAATATGTAATTCTATTTTCAATCGCAATTCAACTAATTGGACTTGTTTGTAAACGAATCTAGGGATATGATAAGCATAAATTCAATAAAATAAGAATATAATTTCATGCTTACCTTGATGCTGGCAATCGGCAATTTCTCATAAGCGTGAAGCGAAAAACACGCAACCGTCCCTCGTGACTAAACGAATGGCACTAACGGTTCGAGCGCGTCAGGTGACGATTGCCGAGAGTTGACGGAGGTAGCCGAGTGCTTACGATCGCGCAAACTTGCCTACATTCCGTTCAATCACCATAGCTCCCATTGCCCGACCGCTCTCATTACCCGGTGTTCCCCTACCTATTATTTTTCAGAAATATTAATATCATAAAAGTGACCGAAAATGCCCTTAAATCGCTTTTGTAAAACACAAATAATTATCCACTTTATAAAAATGTAGAGCGGCATATTTATGTTGTAGGAAAGTATTACATTTAAATTAAAGTCACCTATATCATATTGTATTCTGCTTTCCTCCTTATCATTACTAGGTCGAATTCATAGCAAAACAAGAAGTTCTAGGAAATATTCATTTTTGAAAAGAATACGAACATGCGCGTTTGGGTTGATGTTTACAAAAGATCATTGTTATGATGCTTGTGAAGTTATTTTTGTGCAAGATGTACCGCCTACTCAAAATGTCTGATGCAATTTACCCAATAACTAACGAGACATAAAATTTCACAACCAAGTTAGCTACTATAGTCTATTCACTTTGGCTTGAGTCAAAATGTAAACAAAGAATCTGAGGTTCTAAAACTTTTATAATGTCAGAAAGTACCTACTGGTCAATGATTAGGTATAATTTATGTAACCTATATTAAAATTATAATGAATTCTGTCTTGATGATTAATATAATAAAAAAATGTGTATTTCAAATGAAACCAGCATAATACTTTGCAAATAATATTTATTCACTGTCTTACGACTCACTGGATGAACTGCCACCAACTTAAATAATAAATTTATCCGAAACATCATCCAATTTTAGCATTTTCTGCTCTTCTTTTATGACATGGTCAATGAACCGTTTCCACGATTCAGCTGTGATTGTGATTGTGTGATTGTAAGGCATCGGCTAATAGATTATTAATTTATTTTTATTATTTTTACCAACATATCCTTTGACTTGTGCCCATATGCAGTACAATAAGACGCTTCCCTTTTCCACTTGGGTTTTTAATCCTATTGACAATCCCTCTCGATAAGCTTTTTTCACAGTTTTAATTGTATGATCTTGCCAAATTTTGTTCATAGTGTGTCCTGTAACAAATATGAGATCATTAACAACTTATGAAAAATAAAAACAATAATAATTTAATACAATTGGTAACATGACACAACATACTTGAGTAACATTGTCACAGGATAAAGACATGGTATGAAAATAATAAGTATCATAAAATATTTATAAAAATATTATAATAAAATTATGTGCATAGAAATTAATATATTATAGTACTGTGATGATAAACAATAAAAAATACGAATTTAGTTTATCAGTTTATGAATACAAAAGGAAATATAATTTCATTCA